CATCTGCATCTTCATCATTCTGATGCAAGTTCCGCGCAAGATTGTCATGACCTCAACTTGGGTATTAGTGACCTCGATTCTCATGGATTTGCATGTGTGTATTTACAGTATTTGACTTTTCCTGATCCTGTGTGAAAAGCACTGTGCCGGTGCGAGTGCTTTGAGTGTCCAGATCAGGTGAGGGAAAACGACAAGTTGCTCATCGTCTTTTGTTGTAGGACTTCCTGCCTCAGACAATTCATACACAGGTGGACGCCAAGCACCATGGGATGCAACTCGTTTGACGAGGTTAGATCCATCCCTTCTAAAGGGATTAATAATACACCCCCTATTAGTAAAGCATAGTAAAGCCAATTTTTCCCCTGATTCTTGGGCAATACTAAAGCAATAGTGGTGCGACCCCCTACAATTGGTGAAGCCCTTCTCAGACCCGCAGAATTTTTGTGGTATTAATTTAGCACAACTCCCTTTCATGTCTAACTGCGACCACGCTGTTCGTAAATTGCTGACCCTTCCCTATCTCATCCCTTCTTTGCTTCTTATCATTTGTTGGTCTCTCATGATGGGTCACCCTGACGATGCTGCTGTTTTTTTGGCTGCAAATCTCATTCCGTTTGGCCCTCCATGGATGATGATTCCTATTCCTATTCATGCACTGAGCTTGGCAGGCTTTGCGTGTGCACGTGTCATCTTTAAGTGAGCCAATGAATGCTAACAGTTTGACTCAAGTGGGAGTTGAACCAAAATCGCATTCATTGTTTTTCTTTCTAGGTCTATAGGAAGGGGTGGCCTGTGTTGACCTATTTCGTTCCAGGGGTGACCTGGTGTGCCGCGAGGAGTGACCTCGTATGCTGTGTAAGCTACCGGACATTGACATCCCTGCCGTGACCAACATCCTCCACGCAGTGGCATTCCGGGAGTTCAAGCAGCATGTGGAGAGGCCGGCAAGGGAGGGCCAAGACTTGGCTGCATACACATGTTGGATGCACGCAGTCGAGATTAGGCACTCTCCTTTTGTCACCCCCATTACCAGTGAATCTGAACTGTTCCCTCCTTTGGTCAAAATGCCTTGCTGCAAGAGAGATTGCCAGCGTTGTGCAGCTCACCTCGGAGGGTCCAAGTTCCCCTGGTTTTCGCTGGCAATCCTTGGAGGATGCGACCACCGGGTTCTGCACGCCCCCACCCGACGCACAGAAATCCTGTCCTACATCATTGGCCAAGCCCGCAGGTTGATTCCAAGGTGCGTGATTACCCAGAGCTCTGGCAAACAGCGAGTGATAGATAACGGCGTCCAGTGAAGAGATTCAGGAATTCTGCCAACATGATGCCTGAGACAGGCCAAGAAGACTTACCATCGGCGTATCGCTACTGCCCGATGTCCCTGCAAGAGAGCTTGGGCTGCGTGGTGGTATGGTTCATACCTGTGAAAACAGGTTTATGCTGGGGTGACCAGGCAGCTCTGACCAGAAGTAGACACTGGTCTGGGGCTATGCGCATGTCACGCAGTGACCGATCCAAGGCGAACCTGAGGATAGCAGGTGAACAGAGAGACTGTCATGCAGAAGGTGAAAAAGAGTGCGGCGAGAGTAGTGCTACGAAGTCATGTGTCACTTTGAGATGAACATGTTTTCATCAGAATTGATCACTCATCGGTGCTAATATGAAGCTAGTTTCATCAAATCAACCCCCTCATGAATGCTACTACGCAGCTAATTTCAAAAGAATTGACCACCCATTGATGGAATTTTGCTGCAAATTCCACCAACATTGATTCCTCATGAATGAGTGGAGGTTTTCAATTCGGGGTATTTGAGAAGATGGAGTTTATCAATCCAGGTTGCCATTAGTTCCATTTGCAAGTGTTGGATGGCATTTGAACACATGTGTGACAGGACTCGGGTTGTGCCAATTGAATCTTTGATTGAGATTCGCATCATTCGTCGGCGGAAGTGCTGCGATAGACAAGGTCGGCAAGGCCCTTGGAGATGCCAGACAGTACACCACAGGAGAGGATCAGAAAAGAAGCACCCTCTGTATCCCTTTGTGTCTTGAATCAAATGCTGAGGCTTTGCCTTTACCCGTCGAAGTGTTTCTGGGGCTACCCGACCAACTTTGAGCGGAACATTATTGTTGTCACTGACTCTTGTTGCACCTGAGCTGCAATAGATTTCAAATGGTAAAATATGAGGAATGAGGGCCATAAAAGAAAGAATTTGGAATGCAGGATTGGAATTCTCAGCAACGAAAACGCAAAATTCACCAAATTTGGCGAGGCAACAACTATTTCTTCTGTGTGCACGAAATGGAGGCGATTTCTGCACCCGATTTCTTGCGGAACAATAACCAAACTCGTAATTGTTTGCAATAGTGCGCGAGTTAGCTGTTTCTGCTACAAGAAAAACATGAGGAGTTTATGGCAGACAATTGGCCAGCGCCAAACGATTTGGAAGACGCCACGGATCAGAAGCGGAAGGCCGAGATCACATAGCCTACTCAGTGTTTGAATTCGTGCAACGCAATGCGAAGACTTGCCTCCCAAAATGCTTCCATCCAGCCGCATTTAGCATGGCACGCCGACTTGATTTTGCCAATGACAACAGGTACCAGACCCTGCAGTTCTAGGTTGGGAGCCTAAATCACAGTGGAGACAGCCGCATAGAAGCAGCGAGAGAGAGACAGAGAGAGAGAACATTCAACTTCTGCCTCAAGGGCAATGAAAGACCAGCTGTGGAAATCCAAGCCTCTAAGAGCATTCCATACTGGCGGCCCAAGCACCAGTTGTGTCAAAAATGTAGCGTGCTTGGGAACTGAAGCAATTGGTCTAGAGTTTCTGATATTTCGAAGCTCAGATCTGGGTGCTTTTGCATTAGGATGTATTGGGTTGTTTTGGAGCCACGCTAGACATATCTTGAAATGATTGAATGTCTCAGTAACTGAGGCAGTCTTTGACACGTTTGTGCGAGCTGAAACAAACTGAGCCAGCTTTTGCGCCGACTCTTGAGTTTTATGGTCAAAATATTTCAAAGTGCTAGCGGCATAATTGGACCTGGTGCCTGTGAAGGACACCAAATTCGAGAAGGATTCTCCAAGAGAATTCTTCTCAGCGCCCTTTTGATCAATTTGATTTGCCACAGATTCAGATTCATTTTTTCTGTCCGCAAGCTTGCTCCAGATGTGCAGCTTCTACATTGAAGAGCCAACCAGTCTTCAAGCATGCAGCTGGCGAGGGGATTCTGAAAGTCACTCTCCGCATACTTGAAATCAACACGTAGTGCACCTCAGAAACTTTTGACCCTATCATCAAGTCGCTGCGAACTTTGCACTGGATGCTGCTGCCATGCTTCTTGATGAAGCAACACAGAAGATTCATTTGTCAGAAAAAGACGGCATAGGTGACTTGCTTTGCCACTTTGCTTTGCCCTTTCAAGTGTTGGCTGCACCTTTTAATCAAAGTCGCAACGGAGAAAGCCACGGTGATGTTTCGAGCCAAGGCAATACAGCTCTGTAGCCAATCTCGTGCAGAAACTCCATTCGACAGATTTTCAGGCAGTCGATTGTAGTACTTCAAGACTGATTAAGGCCTTTGTCCTATCTTGTTACTGACTATTTTGGGGTTGTCGCGGTGGAAGTGGTGCAAAGCGCAACCAAACTGGTAACAGGCTGTGAGTGCAGCCATGCGATCTGAAACTGAGAAAGCTGCAAGCAGCCGGGTGCTCAGCTTCTCAATTTCAATGTTTTGAGGAAGCTGAGATTCCTTAGCGATGGATCATGAATCAAATCATAAGGCGCATCACTTTTCTGGAGGGCGGCCTTTGAAAAGGCATTAGAACTGCCAGCACTTCTCAAGATTTGTCAAAGCTCGTGAGACCGTATGGTTGAGCTTCTTGTTCTTGAAAACATTGGACTTCCATCGATTGCCATGGATTTCACATCCGCCAGGTCCTCTCTGCAGCAGGGAGCAGTCCTCTACGTAGGGATGGATCAGAGGCACAGGCACGAAAGGATGTTTCTCTTCTGAAGTGACTACATATCAACGCAGTCTTGGAACATTGGAAGTTGCCGACAGCGGAACCCGCAAAAAGCAAGATGTTTCTGCGCTCAACGATCTTCTCCTTGGGCTCAAAGTCATTCATTTGTGCTCTGGACATGCACTCAATCCTGGAGAGCAAAAGGAGGCTCGCCCGATTCGTCCTGCTTCTTTCAAGTGACTTTTGGTGCAAGTTGATTTGGTTTCTTAATGGCTCTATAGAGACTCGACAAGATTTCTACAAGCACATCAGGGAGACAGACATGGCTTCTTCCGTGCGCACCCACACATACTAGCACCTAGTAAAACCATGTAAAACCAATTTTAAGAACGAACTTATGAACTGAACCTCGTTTCTTATCGGAAGACCAGCGGGGATGTCAAAAAACAGTTTGGCTTTGAATGGATAGAGTGCCTATACAGATACCAAGTCGGTCAACAGCAGCAGTTCAAACATACACACGCACACATATGCATGCCATAAATGATACTGATAAAGTTGGCAGTAGTTGAGAATATGACGAAGGTAGCGAAAGCGGACAAACCCATGTTGATGGGCATGAGCATCTTCAGTTTGTACATCATGCATGACTTGTATGACCACGAACAAGAGGAAGGGTTCAAAGACAACATCAGACCTATTCACACCGGCATAAGGGTTTTCGTCTACGAAGGCTTCAAGGGCATCAGAAGGTACATTGTAGCACTGGCGGTAAAATAGTAATTAAGAAAGCATGCACGATAACATCAAGTTCAGTTCACCATTCTTTCTGGTTGAATTTGGGCACTCATACTTGTCTTAAGTGATGTTTGCTGAATCTTCCTTCGCACCACTGGCCTTATCCACCCATTCAAGGTCATCGGACGGCGTTAGATAACCTTTGCTTATCTCACATTACGTCAGGTACATGGATGGATGCATTTTTGACAAACGCAATTGCGACAGCAGAACAGCAGAGCGACCGGCAGACGGGCCAACAGAAGTCCGGATAGACGGATAGATAAACCGAGGTTTACACAGAAGTCCGCAAAACGAACACAAATACCGTAACTACCTACGTATCATATGTGCATGAATATTTGCCTCTCACGCAGTCAGTCAAACTTAGACATGTGTCAGGTGTCTAAGCGCCTCCTCCCCTTGCAGCAAGGGCATCAAGGACTTTATTTGCGTTTTTCATGTGCCGGAGTCCGCGCTTTGCTTTGTGTTTATAACCAAGTCGTTTGCAAAGACAGTTCAGATCTGAACTTGTCCTGCGTGGCCATTTGAGTTCAAGTGACGCGTTCGTTCCAGAGAGCAGCCACTGCAACCCCATTCTGGAAAGATGGATGCCCTTTCTCGTTTCTTGCCATCAATATGAGAATCCAAGCAAAACAAAGGGATAGATACTGCAAACTAGAGAGAGAGGGCCCTTGCTGTCGCATGTTGCCGAGTCTTCTTTCTTGTGCTTTCCCTTGCCTGCACACGCCACTAGTTTTTCTGGAAGAGTCTGCCACTATTGTGGCAATCGCATCTCTTTTGGTGTTGGCGTCGGTCTTAGATGTTTTTCCTTGGCCTTGGGTGCTGTGTTGTCCTCGAGTTCATTTGTTACCGTCTGCGGGTTTGCTGCGTGGGGCACCTTTGCGCAACTGCGTTGTGTCCATTCACCCTTTTAACTTGTTTTGCTACCTCTCCACCTGGAATGCATCTGCCCCTCTGTATCTCTATATCGTTGCTTAGTCTCTGTTGGCACATTTTTCTCAGAGAGTCCATGTCTCTTTGTCTCCCAGCTAGGCCGTCCTTGCCCATTAGGCCGCTTGTCTTTGATCGCGGATCTAACTCAGACAGGAGCCTGAGAAGAGCCCAAACGGCATCAAAAAGCGTAAAGCAAGCAGGCGTCGGAGCCAACACACCAGCCGAGCTAAATAGCCACGTTTGACTAAGTACAGAGCGGAGTCATGATTCGAAGACAATACTTGAAGAATCGCAAAGGTAAACGATTAGATTAGATTTAAACATATTACAATATTAACATATTGGAACAAGAGCAGATTTGTGCTACAGGAGTAGAAGGTGTCTTGAAGTCACAGATAGTAACAGACTAGACGATGTACAAGTTCAACTAAGAAACATTAAGAAGCTACCCTATACTGAATTGTTTGAGCTTTTGTGTGCTTTTGGGTGACTGCCCCACATGTCGGGTCATAAATTGGCATAATGCGGCAAATATAGGCAAACAGTTTCGTTTTGCACATCTCGGGCAGGCAGACTAGAGCAGTCACTGTGCAATTCCGGTTCTTCACCCGATTGAAGAGTATGTTTCTCGACAGTTCTTGACTTGTTTCAGCTCAAGGAAAAGCCATAGATACGCCGGTGCCGATGGATGATGACCTTGATGAACCTGCGGACGAAGGTGGCAAAGGAGGCTATGGACCCATCCGTCGAAAAGGCGCCAAATGACAAACGAGTCTTTGGAACCCTTCCGTTGATACAACTGCGTAGGCGTAGTAAATACAATGTAAAGTCAGTGTATATACATGCACATTAATTCAAATTAATGCAAAATGTCATCGCATGACATGAAGTCACATGGCATTAAGCCACATGAGATGAGATAAAGTCATATCTCACTGTCTTGAGTCGTGTCAGCGTGGTGAGCGTTGTTCCCCATCTATTTCGAATTTCGAATTCTTTGCCAGGCGAGGCTTCAGAGAGTGGAATAATTTTTCAGCCGGCCGAAGTGGAGGATGTAGTCATAGAAACCGTGGATGAGACGAAAGGTGAAGGAGAAAGTGACATGCCCTATAGCAAGCCTCAATTTCCTGCTCTCACACCGCCGCTTTCCTGCAAAAACAGCTTTGAAGATCTTTCGAGTGTTTGGCTTCAAGTCGAGATTAGCGACAAGTTTTCAAGTATTGCTGAGAAATCATGTTACAGCCACCTGTAGCTTCAATTCTGAAGCCAAGGAAAGAGCAAGGCGTGAAGAAACAGATGCGCAGAGTACCAGTACCTCCGCACAGGACTGGGGGCTGTCACACAACCTTGAAACTGCCTCTATCACAATGGTCTTTTGAGTCTTTTGCCAGCTTGCAATCTAACCCACGATCTCTCACCATCTTTCTCCTTCTCTTCCTCCACCCTCCAGTGTCACCTGAGGATGACTCCGCTGAAGGCATCTTGGGTACAGCTCATTGATCCCATTGTGGAGCACATGAAATTACAGGCTGGACATGTGGACAGTGTCTCCGTCATGTTGAGAACTCTCAAGCACGTTTTACACACTCCGACATCCAACACAATTTTTGATATTCTTGACACCCTGTGTCGTTCTTGTAGACATATAAAGGGCTACCGCCCCCTGCCGCCGACCCCTTGCCATTGCTCAAAAATCCGGCGATGCCTTGCCGTTGTCGATGTCTCTGCAAGTCGCCGCAGCATTACAGGTCGGCTGCGGCTTCTACTGCCGACCCTCCCCAAAATCCTTCGCTCTGGTGTTGTTTTCACGTTTTTGGGAGTCTAAAGCCTGCGAACATAGGGGCGAAAGACTAATCGAACCATCTAGTAGCTGGTTCCTTCCAAAGCTTCCCTGGAGTTGAACAGTTTTATCAGGTAAAGCGAATGATTAGAGGAATAGGGGGCGTGTTGTCTTCGACCTATCCTCAATTTTTTAAATGGGTAAGATCCACAGTGGTTGCTTCACTGAACTTCTGGGACTCTTTTTGGTAGATTTTTTGCTGTTTTTTTGGCGCATTCTAAAGGCCAAAACACTGTTTTTGTATGTTTTTGTGCCTTTTTGCGTGGAAAACATATTTAATAAACGAATATAAAAGGGCTAAGGCCCTGGTGCCGCCGACCCCCCCTGTAAAGGGGGTGGATTACCGAATACGTTTTGGTCATAGAGTGTGCTGGCTCAGAACATCAAACAACCAGAGCAATCATGACCAGCATGTGGAGAGAGCTTTACTACAAGAGTGAAAGCAGAAAAGGACACATTTGGAAAGATGTTTTGCAGGTGATTGGCGCCCTGAAAGAGGCTGCAACGCAACATATAGAAATATCACGTAATATTTTTTTTAGGGATCCTACAAGATACCGAAGGAACAGTCCTATTTATTTTCTTGTCAGTTTCTTTACCCTTTTATTGAGGATCATCAGATGCATTGCTGAGCTTCAGGACCCGTAACAGTTACTGTAGACTCTTTGGGCCCAGCCGCGCTTTCAGCGGAACAAAAGTGTAGAGTCCGTGGGCCCGGCCTTGCCCGCAGCGGAACGAAAGGTGCTCAACGGCACACCACCTATTCGACGATTTTTGGCTCCTAAACGAACGAGAAAATACGGTGTAGTCATATGGTTGCAAGATGCACAGAAGCAACGCCACCAATCACATTACCACCATAACAATAACAAGAGAAACAAGAGGAACAAGAGGAACAAGAAGAAGAAGAAGAAGAAGAAGAAGAAGAACAAGAACAAGAACAAGAACAGAGCAAGCGGGCGACATTCTAGGCAACACCAACAACCCCGGTGTGCGAAGCCCTACAATATGGTGAGGTGTGAACACTGAAAACTAGCTTTTTTGCAGCTCGCGTGCCAGGTCACAGATGTAAATGTAAATGACAAAGTCAGCTCCAGGGAAAACGATTGAAGCTTAAGAGACTGAAAGCCAGTGAAATCTACGAAGCAATTTATAGAAGTATGATTATGATGAAGTACAGAACAAAGAACCCCATTCTGCGGCGTCCATTTTCATCATTTTCCACCTTCTTCCAGTTTCTTCCTCCTGCAGCCCCAAGGCCTCCAAAACAAGTTGCAAAAAACCATTTCAGAACAATGCAAGGCCCACATGTCAGTCCCTGACATTGCTTTCCCGTTTTTCTTCTTGCCACTGAGGAACGGAAGCGGTGCCCGGCAAGCGGCTTCCACTGCCTAACGTCGCTTTCTGAGCCAACAAGAACCCAGCTCCAAAATGCGGCTCCCAGGCCTCCAAAGCGAGCTCCAGAATGGACCTTTACTGTAGCGGGCGCTTGCGAAACAGCAAAGCACCATGCCACTGAAGCACGGAGGTGGTACCCGGCAAGTGGCTCTCATTGCCTAACGCACCGACAAGAAACTAGCTCCAAAATGCAGCTCCGGCTTCCAAGACAAGCTCCGGAATGAACCATTAGTGAGCGCTTGCAAAGCAGCAGAGCACTATGGCACTGACGGGCGGAGGCGGTGCCCGGCAAGCCGCTTCCAATGCCCAAAGTTGCTTTCTGAACTGACAAAAAATTAGCTCCAAAAATGCAGCCCCCAGGCTTCCAAAATGAGCTCCAAAATGGAGCCTCAGCGGGCGCTTGCGAAAGAACCATTGCTGTAGTAGGCGCTTGCGAAACGCAAAGCACCATGCCACTGAAGCACGGAGGTGCCTGGCAAGCGGCTTCCACTGCCTAACGTCGCTGACAAGAAACTAGCTCCAAAATGCAGCTCCGGCTTCCAAGACAAGCTCCGGAATGAACCATTAGTGAGCGCTTGCGAAACAGCAGAACGCTATGGCACTGACGGGCGGGGTGGTGCCCGGCCGAAACAGCAGAACACTATGGCACTGATGGGCGGAGGCGGTGCACGGCAAGCGGCTTCCAGTGCCCAACGTTGCTTTCTGAACTGACAAAAAATTAGCTCCAAAAATGCAGCTCCCAGGCTTCCAAAATGAGCTCCAAAATGGAGCCTCAGCGGGCACTTGCGAAAGAACCATTACTGTAGTAGGCGCTTGCAAAACAGCAAAGCACCATGCCACTGAAGCACGGAGGTGCCTGGCAAGCGGCTTCCACTGCCCAACGTCGCTTGCTGAACTGACAAGAAACTAGCTCCAACTATGAAACTAGCTGCAAAATACAGCTCCCAGGCTTCCAAAACAAGCTCCAGAATGGACCCTCAGCAGGCGCTTAAAACGCTATGTCACTGAAGGACGGAGGCGGTGCCCAGCAAGCAGCTTCCACTGCGTAACGTTTCTTTCTGAACCGAGAAGAAGCTAGCTTCAAAACGCAGCTCCCAGGCATCTTGCTCCTCCTTCTTGCTCTTGCCGCTGGCTCCTTCTGACTTCTTGCTTTTCTCTCCCTTGCCTCTTGCTTTCTTGTTTGTTGCTCTTGCCATTTGTTTTCTTCTTACAGTTTCTTCGTTTTTCAGCTCCAAGGCCCCCAAAACAAGTTCCAAAATGAACCTAAATGAAGCCTTAGCGGGCGCCCCCGAACAAGCAAAACACCATGGCAGCCAAACCGGGCCTGCGAGGCCCACATGCCACTGCCTAACATTGCTTTCCTATTCTTGTTCTTGCTCTTGTTTTTGCTTACGTTCTGCCCACCTGTTTGTCGAAATTTGCTGTTTGTAATCTCTTAGACTCTTTTCTGTTGCGCTCCCCTTCGCTGCTGGCAGGGGGTCAGTGGATTTCTACCTGCCCGGTTCACCCATGGGAACTCTGTTCTCAAAGTGTCTCAAACTGCTTCTTTCTGAGGGTTCAACAAGATTCAGCTCGCGAGGTGAGGATGAATACCAAGCGCAGGGCTGTAGAAATCCGAAACTCTGAACACACTCCTGACATTGGCTATTTGCAGAAAACTGCTGACTACATGAAAGCTTTCATGCTTGGATTCGACCAAGCTGACGCAGTGGCATTGCTTCGTTTGGATGATCTCTTTATTCAGTCTTTTGAGGTGAAAGATGTCAAACGCTTGCAAGGCGATCACCTGTCAAGGTGTATTGGCCGAATAGCTGGAAAGGACGGAAAAACAAAGTATGCGATAGAAAATGCAACTCGCACCCGCATTTCGCTCTGTGAAGACAAGATCCACATTCTCGGCTCGTTTGCAAACATCAAACTGGCCAGAGATTCCATTTGCAACCTGATCCTCGGAAGTGCCCCAGGCAGGCAAACACAAAACTGCGGACTGTGTCAAAACGCTTGCAGGAGCGCATTTGATACTTCATGATGCTTCTGTGTGCCATCATATCCCGCACGTCCTCTTTGTATGATACCAATAGCTGTCCATGTTGCATGCATGTGCTGCTGCATGATGCAGCTTAAGACGCAGCATCACCGTGGATGTTCTTGTTCTGGCCTGTGAAACAGCCAGTGGCTTCATGCGAACGCTTTCATTGAAACGAAAAAATCATGCGGCAGGCAGGTCTGGAAGTGGTTGGAAGGAAGCGCATGTTGCTACAGATTTTCAGGGACAGGGAAGTGGAGCAAATTGTGTTACGTTTCAGGTTCAGCAGTACTAATACAATAAGACAATAGATAGATAGATAGATAGATAGATAGATAGATAGATAGATAGACAGACAGATAGATAGATAGATAGATATAAAATACGTATTTTTCTTTTCCATACACATGCACGATATATGATATGGTATAGCAGACGGTATGCATGTCTATGTATACGCACATGCTCCCCTTTTTAGGGAAGCTTGTGTAGTTTGCAAACAGTCGCCCAGAGAACAGAATTCTTTGGGGATGCTCCTCGTCGCCGTTTGCGAAGCCTTGATCATTTTGATCCTTTGAAATCCTTTGCCTTTGTTTCATACTCTTGCGCCAGGAAGCCTCAGGAGTCACGCAACGTTCCTGGCCGGCACAGTGCATTGAGAGTCCTTAGTGAAAGACTCCCCTGCTGAACTTATTCAGAGCATTCCTTTTGGGAATTCTTTATCTTGCAAGCTCCGGCAGACGCTCGCAGCTGGCATTAGGAGAATCTGTTTGAAAAGAGAACGTCTCTTCGAGTGACGCATGGCAGTCTGCAGACTGCCATTTGCCAGACTGCCATTTTTTGGTGACCTGTACAGCAGCATTGCAGACTGCGGTTGGTACGTATGTATACATCTAATATCCACTCATATCCTATACACGGGTCCAAAACTTGCAAGTATTTGAAACTCTTCGAAAATGAGTCACACTTTGGAGTACAGTAGCTTGACCTGGACTCTGCAGCGAGGCCCAAACAGCCAGTCTGTTAGAAAAGACAAACCACTCAGCAACCCCCACTGTCAACTTGGCATGCAGTCACGTCATGCAGGTCTCTAACGATCCTGGCAAAACCTTTCAAAAACCCTGGTAGATTCGAGAGACTCATACAGAGATGCGATAAGCTGTCTGCCATGGACTCAGCCTCTTATAAGAGCAATGGCATTGCCGGCGATGCCAGATCCTCAATAAGATCAATAAGGTTGCATGATTGAAAAGCCGCCTTGTTTGATGCGCAAAGTTTTGCTCACTTGACCAGTGTTCAGAACCCCTGTCGCTTGATGACTACTATAATTGGCATTATACCATCCAATATATTCGGGATTATCACAATCCATGATGGGATACCACACCAGTATAAGGGATGATGGGGGTTTGAACACTGCTCACTTGCCTTGAAACCATTGAAAACAGTGTTTTCGTTGAGCACAACTCAGGCTCCCTGGGGTTCGCGAAGCAGGCACCAGTGTAACAATTCAGCTGTCAGCTTGTTGCCTTAAACACGTAACCCAAATTGAAGCCCAGTGCATGAGCTGTTCAAACCTTCAGGTTTTCCCGTGGAGACTTCGTCAATCTCAACATTTTGGGCGAAGGAAGTATGAAGCTGACTTTCCGATTGTTTTCTGACATTCGATACATTCGATACAGAGCCTTGGTTTTAAAGTTTTGATTTCCATTTGATTCCGCCAAGGCATGGGTCTCGTTAGGAAGGTCATGCACCGGACTTCCGGAGAAGTGAGGACCTTGGAACTAGCAGAACCAGCACAACATTTGAGCATTGTTCAAAGCCCTGTGATTTGATGACTTTATGGGGCTATACATGGCTATACTATTCCTGTAATTTCCTGTATACTATCTAAGATTTTGGGGATTATCACAATCCATTATAGAGAATCCCATGAACCAGCCAGTAGGGACGACCCAGGGTTTTGAACACGGCTCATGTGACTTACAACAAGATCAGCTGTTTTTGGGGTATCCAGCTCTTGTTCAAGTCTTTGCGTTTGCCATGACGTCTCAGGTCTATGCTTTGAAAGCGGTTGACAAGAAGCGAGTTCTTGTCCGTCTCTCGATGTTTCATTGCATTGTTGTTGACAAATCGCCTCATGCAGTGGATATGCGAGTTTTGAGAACTAAGGATCACAAGCTGCAAGACCAACTAGTTGCGGAAGCAACTATCTGAGTAAACACGCGATGCACCTGAAGAATCTGGCCATGTGAAGGGAATTGTGCAAAACCTCGAGCGAAGAGATTAAGCAAGGTGACAGACACCTCGAGTCTGAAGGAATAATGGGACTGTAGGTGTGTATGTACGTGTAGGTATGTATGTACGTTATATAGATGTGAAAGAAGTATATAGGAAGACAATAGAGACAGCCTTTTTCTTGATGATTGTTCAGACATGCTTCCTCCAAGCGATGATTCAAGATGCCGAAGCGCTCAGGTCAATACACAGATGACCTTATCACACCCAAACTTGTTGAGGTGTGGAGCTGATCAAGAGCTGCTCAAGCTGTTGTAGGTGTTGGCACAGTGCAGAAGGTAAACTTTGAGATGTTTCAATGCCGTTTCATTCGCTGATTTGATGCACCGTGGCTATGTGATGCTATGTGAGGTGTTTTGATTGCTTTCTCGAAGAAAACACGGCCCAGAACTCCAGGATCAGAAATGCCTTGAAGGGCCTTGACATTTGAATACATTTAATATAGGTTTCAATTCAAGATGGTCATGGGACACCGGCATAAGGTCTACATCGTGCTTGAAGTGGCCTCAAACGGCGATCTATATCAGTGAGACACTTGGGAAACAACTGCGAGTACACAACAAATACCGCTCAGTATCAAGAAACTAGAGCAGCTGCAGCATTTGTGACCCTCAAACCACAGCTTAACACAGCTACAGCGTCTGAAGAAATTGGCGTAACGGCTGTCGGTGTTTGGAGAATTGTCCTTGCTCATGGCCTCTGCAAGGTTGATGAAAAGACAGGGACCCCTCAGAGAAAGTGACGCCGCTTATGTCTTCAAGCAGGCCGGGGAAACATGCCGTCAACGTATGTACGGAAACGTACGAAGTATATTGGACGTTGTATGCCCCTCACTGGAAAGCCTGAAGGCTTTCTATACTTTCTATCCCTGATTTTCTATCCCTGATTTTCGCCACAATTCTGTTCGCCACAATTGCATGGACTATTTCAAATTACGATTGTGGCGAACAGAATTCTTGCACGTTTGCACCAGTTCCTCCGACCACAATGGATCAATTGCAATATGCAGTGCATGTGATCAAAATGCAGGTCTGTGACGGTGTTCAGTACTTGCACAACAACGGGCGCTTTTCTTAGAGTGCGGTTTTGACACTTCCACAAGATCAGCTCAAATTTTTGGTTTATCCTCGTTTCAAAAAGGATTATCCATTGCGACCTCAAGCCAGAGAATGTCCTCCTTGCTGGGGAATCTTGGCATTGCAACGCTGAAAAGCTATGTAAGACTGCGATGCTGCTCAGTACAAGAGCAAGATCAGTTTTCACCATTGGACATCATTGGACTGTATCGAAGAGAGGCACACCAGCATTAATTAGTGAGGATTTCACAACAGCACAAGAGTTGGGCACGAAGATGCACGAAGTAAGATTGACAAACCATTAGAAGACAAGGCAGGACATAACCAAAACGTTTATGCCTAGGAATGAGCATGGCTCTTTAATCGACTGACCTTTGTAGCTGATTCTGATTCTGTGCATTTCTCGGATTTGCAGCCGAGGACATGACTGTGAAGATTGCAGACTTTGGATGGGCCGCCAAGGCCCTTACCCAACACATTTACTGTACATCACATGCATTTTTGCTTTGCCACTCTACACATTCGAACTGTCCGCCGATAGCAGGCAAAGCAAAATGACACACGGAACACATTCTGCGGCACACTTTGCATGCTCGCGTCAAGTCCTTAGACTTCACGGCCGCAAGCGGTTGACAGAATCTGGTACAGAGCCTGTAGTGGCAGTGGCTGTCTAGTGAATCTGGGAAGTAGCGGCAGGCGGTCATGGCAATTCACGGTATGTGATGTGACTTGCAGGAGTAGATTGCACGAGTAGGAATTGCAGAGTGCATTTGAGCAAAGTGCAGTATGTTCTTCTTTCTGCGCTATCGGATGCAGCCTCGAATTGCATCGCCAGACACAAGAAAATGACGAGTAGAGGGGGAGGAGATGGAACGAGGGTGTGATCCTGCAAGGGGGATCCTGCAAACTCAGACCTCGAAGCATTTGAAGCTGCAAGTTTCAGCCTTTCATTCAAACTTCAGGCCAGAGATCATAGCTGGCAAGGCCTATGATGCCAAGGTTGATGCCGAAACCTGAAAGTATGACAGATGTGCATGCTATGCTTTGAAAATCTTTTCAAATGTTGAGCTTCTGTTTCTTGTTCAATGCAAGATGCAAGAGTCAGAACTGCACACAATGTGCATTGAGGTATGGGCCATTGGTGCCATAGCCTGAGATTGAAGAGAAATGAAGATAGCATATTCTTGAGATTTCTTGACAAACCTAAACAAAACAAAACCTAAAAGATCCTAAAAGTATCCCTGGCATTCCTTGACCCAGGTCCTTCTGTTCGAAATGCTGATGGGTCAATCCCCCTTTGACAAAGGACAAGGCCTCATGGAAACCTGCAAGCAGCAGGCTTAGCAAGGGGGTCAAAGGATCAAAGAGTGGCGTGCTTTGGAAATATGATTGTTTTGGAGACGTTCCGTGCATTCCATTCATCTCGAGAAGCTGCGGCTGAGTTTACCCACCCTCTCCTGTTTTGTTTCCCTTGTCAAAGTTTGTTTTTCTTTCTTTGTTGTGAATGACTCTGATGATCGAAAGTGTAGAGTCTACTAAAGTATAATAATAACTAATATATATATATATATATCTAATTAATTATATATAATCATATGTATGTGTATATATATAATTATATTGAAGGCGCACCTTCTGCCCGTTTTGGCAACCTTCGGTCGTGACTCCTGACCGCAGCTAAGGGCAATCGTTGGGCCAGGACTCAGCGCAGTGTCGCTTGAGGAGGTGGGCAATTCAGCTTCTGTGTGGGTCCGTTCCCTAACGTGTTTCAAACGTGTATGCTGCGTGCGTCCTACGTGTCTAGATGCAGAATGATGCAGACTATTTTCAATTCAGCGAAGCAGTGGACATCAAGATTCAAGCCACCTGAAGTTTTGAAGTTCACTAACCAAGGGCAGAGGCTTTTCAGGTTTCCGACACACATTGGCAGACCTCATATGTATCTGTATAATTAGTCGTTTCCTTGCCTGCATTGTCACATGCGAAATCATCACCTTGCATTCCTTGCCACGTCGTTTGATGCACCTGACTCTCAAATAACGTCGCACAGGTTCCGACAGCAGTGCATCCTCTACTGCGTGGGCTGATGCACCAGCAACCAGAGAACAGAATCTCGTTGCTTGCCTCAGCTTTCCTCAGCTTGCCTCAATGGTTTGTTGTGCTTTGTTGGCAGAGAGTCTTGTTTTGGAATCAGGTTGGAGGATTGCCTTTCATCAAAATGGGCAGAGTTCTTAGCGCTGACTTCCATGTAGACTTCAGAAGCTTCTAACATCAGTTGTTGAGGTGTTCGAGCAGGGCTCCCGACGAACATTGTCTCAACCGAAGGCAGGCGGCGTTGCGTGTCACCATGCACGATTGATCATAAGTTGGTGGAGAGGAAGATTGCAGATTCAATTCAGAACGTTACACTGAGGACATTGAGGACGAGGAAGATATAGCAAATCGCCTTCCTCCCAGATCTCAACGCGATGCATCCACAAAGTCAGCACTGAAAGGCTTTGTTGGGCAAAGCAATGCTGTTCACCGTCTGCATACAATGCCAAGTTGAAACAATGAATGAACCTACTCATGTGCCCAGTGGAATCAATGTGCAATGATATATGCCATGCATTGCCATGCTGTCTATCTGAGGCAAGCCTTGTTTCAATGGAAATGAGGTTTGTCAGCGCAAAGCTGAGACGTAAATGCTCACACTGCGAAGGAAGCTGACTGCTTACAGTGTGTTTTGTTCACAGTGTGGCTGACTGCTCTTTGCTAAGGCAAGCTGATGCGAAAAACATTGCGGACCCTCCAAAGGACAGAAGCGCACAAGCCGTGTGATGCTTTGAACATGTATAGCAACTGTACACTCGTACTTTTGAAATTGAAAATGAAGTGGCCTTGAAGGAGTGTTTTCGTCCGCAGCTTCCAGCTTCTGCAACTTCTCTAGCCTGCTCCCTAACATATGTCGACGATTTACATGATCTACATGATCTACAAGTGAGGATGTAAAGGCCGAGTTAGGGGCCCCTGCTATCCCGAGCTATTCACAGTCCTTCATAGATCGAGGCCAGGCCACCGCAGCCTTGGGGAGGCGTGCACATAAATGGACTCAATATGACTCAATGGACACATTCTGATTCTGATTCATCTCATGAAAGAAATGCGACTATGCTTAGCAGGTGGTTCAACGAATTCTCCAAGCTCAAGTGAGTCCAGTTGTCGTGACAGGCATTTTGTTACCTCCCAAGATCTTCCAAGCGCTTTTCGTTTTTGTGTGGTACATCCTGGTACACATTGTCACTTCGAGGTACTGCAGCTGCAGCATCAAGCATACTGGAGGTCCTCAAATGCACAGCCTGCAGCACTGCACTGACTGCACTGACTGCACTGACTGCACTGACTGCACTGACTGCACTGACTGCACTGACTGCAATGCAAGCTCCGCGTTGCTCTTCGACAGGACGCTGAGATAAGTCCCCTGAGCCCTTTGGTGTTCCCCGCACGAGGTCGTATGCAATTGACTGTTGGCAAACATGATGAAAGTTCACTTGTAAGATCTAACCAACCTGAGTGCCGCATTTGTGGAGGCTCATCTACTTCAAACCCGCCAAGAATCACAGCTGGTTCTGTCAGGCAAATGGATTTACTTTGATGATATCGCACTCAAGTAAAAGCAACATATCTTTTCAATGATCAATCGAAACTCAAGCCTGTACGAAACATGTTCCTGGGAATGTCTTTCAAGCGCGCACCCTGTCAGTTCGAGCGGTAACGTCAAGGCTGGGACGGGATAGAAGGCGACTGAAAACACCATTCATCTCGGTGACCTATACTTAAGCGATCTATAGCGATCTTAAGAGCACTGAATCATGTGCTTGGCTTTTTCTGCGTACATGCATGTGGATGCACAATATATAAAGATGCACAGACAGTATGAATGATGCTATATGCACATGTTCCCGTGTATGTTTACACACCTACCACATCTCAGGCAGGGTAAAATGAAAAGTGTGTCGAAACATGTTGAAGCGCTTTACTTCAACATTCTCACCAAGCGGATCCTGATATAAAGTCGCAAGGCAGTTCAAGAGGATGGGGCAACAAGCTTCGGCGAGCGTGAGGCAATGCCTAAAGCAAATCCCCTGAGTTATAGACGTCTCCACAGATTAGATCACAGATTGGATCCAGGTTGAAGATGCATTTCTGATTTTGTTTGCTTTGTATCTCTTTGATTCTCTTTGTGTATTTGTTTATTTTGTTTTGTTTCTCATTTTCAGGTGTTTTCAGCACTTTGTTTCCACCTTTGATCTGCAGTCTGTTTCAACCGTGGCCTCTATGCGCAGCGAGGCCTTGCGATTCTGTGCGTTTGTATTAGACAAACATTGCAGAAATTAGCAGCATGTTACCATATGTTACCATATGTTACCAATGTTCATGTTTGAAGGGGCGATGGCGATACCAAGACAAAGAGGTCTTGGCCAAGGCCGCATCCAAATGTTTGGTTTCACTTTGTTTGCATTATGAGTTATATTTGAATTTCTTGAATTGCTTGGCACTTGTCGTGTTTTGACTTTAATGGGCCTTTTTGAATTGCAGGTTGAACTTGAAACTCCGCGCGAGAATCTTAAACTACCAGCGTTGGCCTCAGAGGTTGGAATTTACGAATCGAAGCCTGTTTGGTTCCACCACAACGAACAGAATGAGACCTTCATAATTCTTTCAATGATCCAGCAAAATACCACAACGATTATTGTTGGCAGATTCTGATGAATACATGTAAGAAAAAACATGCGATTTCCATAGATTTCCATTTTACGCAGAACGCTTTTCTGCGCAGGGAGGCTATGGAGCCAACGGCAGCTCACAGCTCGAAGAGAAGGCCTGCCCTGTTTCTTTTTCCTTTTTCAGGCAAAAAGACAGTTCTTCTTCGTTTTCTCTTCCGTGCAGTGTGTGGTTTATGCATATAATATATGTGCCATGCTTCTCAACCTGTCAGGTTGCATCCCAACCGGATTTAACCCAGGATTTGGCAAGGCCTGATCGCTCATTGTGCTGAGGCAAATTGATGCGTTCCATACTCAACGCCTTGTTAGGACAAAAGACGTGTCAGCTCCTGCGCGATCAAGCTCATCACATGTGACCTCCTAAGAACATTCAGGAATTCACATGAAACATCTTCGGAATTTGCTGTCGCTTGATCTCTCTTGACAGTCTCTGATCTCAGGCCGTCCTCCTGGATGTGGATCAGAGTGATGACAGCTCTGATGATATGCCAGAGGCACTTTCCTTAAAGCTGCCATACTTGTAGCATGCCAATAGCTTCCTTGCAAGGCTTTGGGCGATCCATCTCTACCAGAAAACTACAAATGCCTCCCTCTCCAATTCACCAAATGTTTGAGGGACCGGGCAGAAGATTTCCGAGGATTGTTTCTAGAACACGTTTGATATTTCAGACAATTATGCCCCAACGCCATAGTTGAACACTGTTGGCTTCACTGTCTTCTGGTGGGTTGTGTTCAAGCTTTACGACTCTTTATGCTAGGCCTTGAATTTCTTCCCAAGATCAACCCTTGTGAGTGCCTTTCGAACTCTGCACAGGGCGAAGAGGCGTTTGGAGCTGCGCTTGGTAGATCCACTGAAAAACGTCTTGCCCTCAGGATTTGTGGAAAACACATGAATTGTACTCCCCAGGAACATGGTCAATACATGTCAACAGCCTGCTTGCATCGATTGTGTTGCCACAAGAACATCTATTTATTTGAAGACAGTTCGACCATGTTCGACCAAGATTTGATATTTGTCATTATTTGTCATTGATAGAAAGGTTGGAGCCAAGAGAGGCTGAAGGCCCTCGATGATGGACCTGTGAGTCCGGTGAAGACACCCTGTTAGCTCCCAAGCAGCCAAAGAGGGTCTTAAGATGTCTTGTCATTGTTGTGAGGTGTATAGATGCTTTGAGCCACAGTGAGTAATCAGTTTCCAGTACACAGGTCGATAGCAGACCGGCATTCCGCAGGCAGGGGTTCGGCACAAAGTGAAGCAAGCTCAGCGAAACCGCACAGTGAGCACCAAAGCTGGTTAGTTGTTAAGCAATTACTGTAAGGATAATTAAGGTGAGAAATACAGGGCGATCAGGTAAGTTTCCTTTGTTTAACATTGCTTAGTCTTGTAGCCATTGTAGTCACAGTTGCTCCCAGCTCCCAGTTGATGACAGTTGGAGGCACCAGAGAAGGCTGCGCGACATATTTTGCAGAAACTGGCAACTCTTGGTTTAGGATGGTAGCGCGCTGAGTACTTCAGTGACTTGCATGCCACAGAAAGATTGCAGAGATGAAGGTGATGCTGATGCAGCTATTTTGTATTGACAAATTTCCACAAATCAGGTCCCAGAGTGCTTGCAATACCGCCACAATCGGTCACGACCAATCACTAGATCAATGTGACGACGATGTTCAAATGTCAATTCATATGAGATTCCTTGCGCTTTAGCTCAGCTTGGAAGTTCGGCGTTGGGACACCTTTACGCGTCATTGGAAGTCATAGAGTTTCGACTTTCCCGGGCTTTCCCTTCTGTGCAGTTTGAATCAGTTTGAACAGGGCTCTTTGGCCTTGAGCCCATCTTGAGTCCCAAGGTTTGATGCTTGATGCCAGCTCAAATCATGAGCTGATGGGAATTCGCTGCAAACTGAACCAGGTGAACCAGGTAGGATAAAGACAAACAAAACACATCGGTTTCACATTCTGAACCATTATGCAAAAATGATGTTCTAGAATGTTCTAGAATTTGTGCTTCGATCGCTTTTGAGCGACCCTGTGTCACCCAAATGAAGCAATCGTAGGCTGTGCAGAGTGTGGCCACAGAAGCATTTGATTTTCCCACAACGCGTTGCTTTGACCCCCTACCTCTGTTGTTGAGAAAAAAGAACATGCTAAAGTGTGCTGCACTTATCTCTGTGTTAGCATAGAGATTCGCACGTGAATCAATGCAGACACCAAGTAGGGGCAGTCTTGCGCTGTGGGTCAAGGCCATTGGGTCCCAACCCCTCCAGCAAGATCCATCTGCGACGGTGTGTGCATGGAAGAAAATCCCGGAACTTTTGAACGTTCAGCACTCTGCAGTTCTTTGTCACACTTTTGTCACATAGGAATAGAACTGAATCATAGGAATCTGAAGGTCTTATACCCAATGCTATTTACCCAATGCCCTAGCTATAGAGCATCCACTTCTGACAGCACGACGTGAGAGTTGAGGAGCCCATCCCAGGCAAGGCAGTGGTAGCGGATCCGGCACTGACGAAATCAGAGAAACAGCTTCATTGTGAGCATCTCCACCTCACATCACTGCCACTGTCTATTATCCCCGGTAGCATTGGCTGAAAGTGATGGTGCCTCCTGTTGTTGGATAGTCGCAGCCTCGATCGAGCGACACGTCTTCTGGAACCCAAAGGCAGCACAGTCAACAAAAGTCAATTGAGGCTCAGGCTTGATGTGCAGATCATGTACGGTGCACCAGCTGGGAGTGATGGACGAAGTCCTGCTGCGCCTCCGACCTCATTTTCGCCAGGTGGAGTGCTCTCTTGGTATTTTTCGACTCGAGTCACATTGGTAGCGGCTGATGCCATGTGGATTCGAAAGAGTAGTCAATGATACCCAATGTGTTTGGCAGGCATTCATGGCAAAGGCCTTGATGGCAAGGCCTTTTGAGAAGCTATTATGGCAGACATTGGCAGACTGGATATCTAGTTGGAATCAAACAATGTTTCATTGGAAGCCGAAGACCGCCAGATAGGTTGTTTTGAACCGGCCGGGGCGAGGCCAATTCAGCGCCATCAACATGGCCTTCCATTGACCAGTTAATAGCTGCGGTTCCTGCGGAGTCCTCAGTATGGATGCGTGCATGGTCTCTGTGTGTATAATTGGCTGGATACAGATTATATGTACGATATGTAAGTATATCTATATTACATATGTATATGTATATGTATATGTGTATGTGTATATGTATATGTATATGTGTATGTGTATATGTATGTGTATATGTATGTGTATGTGTATATGTATATGTATGTGTATATATATATGTATGTATATGTCTATATGTCTATATGTCTATATGTCTGTATGTCTATATGTCTATATGTCTATATGTATATATGTATATATGTATATATGTATATGTATATATGTGTATATGTCTATATGTCTATATGTGTATATGTCTATATGTATATATGTATATATGTATATGTATATATGTATATATGTCTATATGTCTATATGTGTATATGTCTATATGTATATATGTATATATGTATATATGTATATATGTATATATGTATATATGTGTATATATGTATATCTGTATATCTGTATATATGTATATATGTGTATATATATATGTATATATGTATATATGTATATATGTATACATGTATATATGTATATATGTATATATGCATATATATGTATTATATGTATATATGTATATATGTATATATGTATATATGTATATATGTATATGTATGTATGTGTATATCTATATATATATATATATGTACATATGTATATATGTATATATGTATATGTATATATGTATATATATATGTACATATGCACATATATATATATATATGTATGTATGTATCTATGTATCTTTGTATCTATGCATCTATGTATGTATATATATATATACATGTATGTATGTGTGTATATGTGCATATGTGTATATCTATATCTATATTTCTACATCTATATCCATATATCTATATCTATATGTCTAGGTCTATACCTATACCTATACCTAACATCTATTTCTATATCTATATCTACAATATCCATATCATATATATATATAATATATATATATATATGAGCTACAGCCAAAATTTACCGTAATGGAAAGTAGTATTCGAGACATCTTTATTTTTTGGAAATTGAGCTGGGGTTTGGAAAACGATAATACACTCTTCAAAAAACGATAGCCGATAACATTTACTATAGTCCCCAAACCTGAAAAACGATAATTCACTCTTCAAAAATTGATGACTTGGAGCTATATACTAAATATTGACCGTGGCCCATATATGAGTCCGGTTCCCGGACCCCCAAAGTCCCCGCCCCCCCATGGTATGGTCCCCCTCCCCAAGACTCGCATTCGTTGCAGTTTTTAGGAGGCAGCCTCCCATTTGTACATAAGTTATTTGCAGCATTTAAGAGGCACAACCTCTTGACTGGACCCTGTCTACCTGCATATTTTTTGAAACATATCAGCACATTCTACCCATAACCTGTTTATATACTGCCTATAGCTTACTCACACATTCCCATTGTATGCCTTTATGCTACATATTTGCTACCTATACATTACTGAAAGCGCACCTATGCATACCTATGTGCTGCATACTTGGATGCAGCATATAGCATATACCTACAAACCTTTATGCTACTTAGATATTAAAAACACCAGCATTATATGCAGGTGTGTAGTATATAAATTGCCCCATCACTACTTATATTTCTTATAACCTGTATAACACCACCAGCGCTCCCAAAACACAATCGGATATATATATATATATATACGTTTACATAAATGGAAATAAATACACATATATATATACATACATAACATGTGTATACATATATGTATATATATATATACACGCATATGCTATGAAAGCTATAAAAAACACAATAATACTCCCATTAGATTAAAAAACATCCTCCACACCTAGGTCGCGGAAGCAAATCACCCAAAATTACCAATGCGGAAGCTCGTGGAAGTGGTATATGAAGACATGAGTTCGCGGAAGCTACGTTTTCATCCGCGCAGGGTTTGCGGAAGCGTTGGCGGCAGAGCTTTGTTACGCCAGTGGAAACTAAGATGGAAAAAACAGCACACACATATATATATATATATACACATATATATATATATACACATATACATATATATATATACACACATATATATATATATACACATACACATACAAATATATATATATATATACATATTTATATCAATTATATAATGTATATTACATGATATATTTATACACAGCACAGAAAATATACTGTGATTTCATGCCTGAAGAAACAATGCAACCATGCTTAAACCGACTTGAATCAACATACTACATCTCTTTGCGCGCAGGTCAGACCCTATGCCTTCGAAGCTCCAAAAAGCTTTGCAGGTCCTGCAGGTGGCAATGGCGTTCAGTACGGCATTCTGGAGTACGCTGGTTCCATTCCAAAACCACACGCGTCGGGTGAGGCAAAGTTTTCTGTTTTGAAAGGTGTTTTGACAGACAATGAGGCAGCTCAATTGCTATCCATGTGCAGCCAAACTCTGAGCGAAGAGATTGGCAGTGGAAGGGCACGAGATCTTGATTCAGTTGACGGAAGACCTCGTTTTGCTGTAGATATCGCTGAATTTGGAGTGCTTTCTTCTAAATGCGCGCCAGATGTAAGGCCACTCGTAGAGACTGCTTTGCTGCCACTGGTTCGCCAGAAGTATGACTGCCCTACAGCAAGCTTGTCATCTGCCTATTTCAGACGCTTTGTTCCAGAGGAAAGACGATTTGTTCCTCCACATTATGAGCATGGCTCCTTCGCAGTACTAGTGATTGCTTTGCAAGAGCCAACATCGTATACTGGTGGCTTCTTTGTGCAAGGTTCTGGAAAGGCCTTTATGGATCGAAGGTTTATACAGCTCAGTCGTGGAGATATCTGTTTATTTCAATACGATCTTTGTCATGGTGTGGATGTGCAAGAGGGATCTCAGCTGGAGCTGGTTTTGCACTTCAAAGATTCTCCGCAAGCAGTTGCAGATGGAACTTTTCCATGGTACTGGCGCCTGGATAGCACTCTGATGATTTCCTTCTGTCGTCCAATAATGTTGGTATCAAGTTTGCCAATCAGCCATGCTCCCTTCGTTTACATAGATATCCTGACGCTCCTGACGCTCCTTTGTTTTCCAAAGGATTAGCACAGCGTGGAGAAAGATATATTCAAGTTTGAAAGTTGAACACCTATTTGTCAAATCCTTGCGGTGTTGTGAAACTACATTAGCCGCCCTAATTTGGTTGCTTAAATGGACTCTTTAGTTGTAAAGTCTATGGTCTGCAAGGTCTGCAACAGCCACCAGGTCTCTTGCCAAAGAGAATCACTCTGCTGGGCTTTATGGACATGCCTTGTCTTTGGCAGTCCAAAATCGCTTTTCTGCGAAGGAATTCTTGGACAAGGCAGAAGTCTTTGGCTCGACGAGTCAATGTGCTGACCTCCTCGCACCATTTGCAGATACAAAATGATACAAAGAACATCAATCAACATTCGAAAGGTCTAAGAGTCTAGCAGCAATGGAAACAGCATTATTCAGTAGTACTTTAATATTGTCCATGGATTTGAAGGACACTTTTTGATGCTTTGCTGTTCCCTGCCCTCCCTGCTCTCCCTGCGCTTCACACTTCTGATTCAGATGAGGCCTGTGAGCAGGACCATGTCGAGGCACTTTGCACAGCTGCCGAATGGTGTTGGGAGCCTCCAACTGAATCTGGACTCCAGGACCAGCTTCACCAAGTCTGAAAGATGAGCGTGACTGAGAGTGAATGGAGGTGAATTGAAGTTATTGTCGAAGTTACCATTATTAGCATATCGCCATCTCTTCAAATCCAACTCGAAGTTGAGTGAAATTGATGCATGGACAACAGCACACTTTTGGCATGCATTGTGAGTCTCTTCTACATAGACAACCATGCTCCTTCAAGAGTTTCCGCGGAAAAGGAGTCATCTGCTTCTGCTGTCGCGTTGTGGCGCAGAGCAGCTGAGCTCGGGCATTGTCGGTCCGAGTCTTGTGCGATCTTCACTTGAGCACAGAATCTGCAGTGCAATGTAATCTTCACGTGTGATTTTCGCACAGAACTGATGCTTTTGAGATCCTTTGCGCAGTGGCAGACAGACACTGAAGAAGATCCACGAAGATCCAAGAAGGCCAGCATGATTTAGCACAGCACTGGCCATCGCTAGGTCGAGGAGCCGCTATGGGGGCCTATTGATGCAAGGTGTGCCAGGCCGTTTGGCCCAAGACACTCAGCTGACATTTCGACGCATCGTCACCTCACCCTGTCAAAGGGGCCGCATTGGACATGTGAGACCCTACAAGCTATTGCACTGTTACACGTCCACACGGTAGAAGTCTTTTGGGCCTCCTGGTTCCCTGGACCAGTCTGGTTGTTTGGGAATTGCAAACATTTGCAAACCCACCGATCTGGCAGATATGCACCCTGAAAATCCTTGAGCAAAAAGATACTTGCGAGGATCTGTGGGAAGGTAAGCGACTGCTTCGTTTAGCTTTTGAACAAGATGATCCCGATGCTGCGCCGGGGGCCTTTGCAGTGTCGTGAAATTATGTGAAATCCCCACGGGTCCAAGCAATTTAAAGAGATAAGAACTCAGAGTAGCTGAGCAAGCGAGGAGGAACGAGGAGGAACGAGGAGGAACGAGGAGGAACGAGGAGGAACGAGGAGGAACGAGGAGGAACGAGGAGGAACGAGGAGGAACGAGGAGGAACGAGGAGGAACTGGGTCTGTTTATTACTTGATTGTGTTTTGGGTGATACCGTTGCCCTCTTTTTCGCCCAGGTTTCATTTGGGGCACGCTTTACTCCAAGATGGAGACCGAGATGGTGTTTGAAGCTCAAACCAACCTGCTCTGTCAAGACGGAAACGTGGACAGCGCATTTCCCAGGCTACTAAACTCTTGGCTGCTTGCGCAAAGGGCCATCCCCGAGCTTGCTTCCAGGTGCAAATTCTAAGATCTAGCTCACAATCAAAGACAAACGGTAGTCGAAAGCGCTACACTGTGGCTACACGCAAGGGCGGCAATTGCACAGGACTTGCAGTGATCCCAAGTACGTCAGGTGGCTGAGATGTACAGAGAGGGCCAATTCCAGTTTCCCAAGGCGTGTTTTGGCTGTCCGAAAGACACACGGTGTCTAAGTCTAAGTTTTCCGTGGCAGCGACATTCTGTTGTATTATATATATTGTGTGCTGTACTTCATTGTGCTTCCATTTTTGTTGGCCTATCATGGACTCAAGGACGTGCAGCAGTCAATCCGCTACACAAAGTGGGCAGCACATCAAGGGGATGCGCAGGCAGCTGAATTCGATCAAGTTCAGTCCCTTCCCGAGATGTCAATCCCAAGGCGCATTTTGCAGTCCATCTCTTGGTTGCAGGCCTTGAGCAACCTGGGCCACATGCTCATCAATGGCCCGAAGCTCAACTGGCCCAAACTGCTCACAGCCGGTCTTGCCAGATCCAATCCTTGTCTCCTTGTAGTTTGGCAAATTTTGGCAATGATTGTGTTGTCCGCAAAGGCCGTGTCTTTTGAACCTGTTTTGATTCTACAGTATCACCTTAGTCATATAGCATATGCGCGGGAGTAAACATACGTGTACATACATTTTTTTTTTAAATATAAACTAAACATATATTATACCGTTATACCAGTAGTACCGCACAAGGCGGTGGCGGAAGTTTTAAAAATAGGAAACCTATATATTAGGAGAGATAAATGCCGTGACTCATGGATGGCAGAGCGAACTGATGGACCGAAAGGTGGCTGAAGCTCTGCATCCCTCTCTCTCTCTCTCGCGCGTTCTCTCTCTCTCTCTCTCTCTCGCTCTTATCTTATCTCATCTTGTCTCATCTTATCTCATCTGATCTCATCTTATCTCATCTGATCTCATCTTATCTCATCTTATCTCATCTGATCTTATCTAATCTTATCATATCTTATCTCATCTTATCTCATCTGCGCTCATCTGACCTCATCTGATCTCATCTGATCTCATCTTATCTCATCTTATCTCATCTTATCTCATCTTATCTCATCTGATCTCATCTGATCTCATCTGATCTCATCTGATCTCATCTGATCTCATCTTATCATCTATCTTATCTATCTAATCTATCTATCTAATCTAATCTAATCTAATCTAATCTAATCTATCTATCTATCTATCTATCTAATCTATCTAATCTATCTAATCTATCTAATCTATCTAATCTATCTAATCTATCTAATCTATCTAATCTATCTAATCTATCTAATCTATCTAATCTATCTAATCTATCTATCTATCTATCTGTCTATCTGTCTATCTGTCTATCTATCTATCTATCTATCTATCTATCTATCTAATCAATCTTTCAACCTATCTATCAATCAATCTTTCAATCTATCTACCAATCAATCTATCAATCAATCTATCTATCAATCTATCAATCTTTCTATCTTTATTTCTTTCTTTCTTCTTTCTTTCTTTCTTTCTTTCTTCTATCCATCCATCCATCTATCTTTCTATCTTCCTATCTGAAAGGAAGCAAGTATGCGAGATTTCCGTCAAAAGTGGAAGTTGAGATGTCCAAAACGATGACTTCATCAAAAAATAGCATTTCTGAGCTCCAAAACGCAGAAATTCAGCGAGACTTCCTCAATTTTTGAATGTGACAATTGACAACATCAAAAACAAAGCAATTTTGCAAGACTTGTTTGAAAAGTAGACAGTTGAGTCCAGACCTGACGGCCTCGTGCCAATGCATTTGCGGTCATTCCCGCCACGAAAAAGTAAGGCCAAGTCATACGAAGTGCTGCACCTGCCACGCAAAATCATCTTCCCAAAACTGAAGATCCGATGCGCCAAAATGCCCCTCTCAGGAAATCGGCGCCCGGACCTCCTAACATCTCTGATGGAGATGTCTCTTGTGCTGTGCCTGCCACGGAAAATGCATCTTTGCAGATCCTCTTCAGATGTCCCACGCCTGCCATCGTTTTTAGAAATGCTACAAAACCCTCACGTTTGTGTCACTTTTGACAAGGTGCAGAATCCATTGCGCCCGCCATGCAAAACCGTATCCAAACTTCGAAAAGTGGACCATCTCTTAACGCTTGACGTCCAAATGCTCTTAGTGCCACAACGGTGTGCACTTTTTCAACATCTCAAGTTCCAAAAGTGATCCAGACGTGTGGTGTTTTTGCCATTTTAACTTGGCAATACGCTTCGCGCCACTATTGCGCGCGCTTTTTCAACATCTCAACTTCCAAAAGTGCTCCGACAATTAGGTGTTTTTAGCATTTTGACTTCCAAATGTGCTCCGCGCCACAGCGGCGTGCAATTTTTGATCTCTGATCATTCTGATCTGACGAAGTGGCTCCGCACCCGCCGCTTTAGCGAGCCTACTTTTCGACCCTCCAGAGCCACAAAGCATGGGAAAAACAGTGTTTCGCGACTTTTCTACCTTTTCGCGCGCCTAGATCTTCTTTCTACTGACTCTGTCCTTCTGACTTCTTCTCTTCTGACTCTTTCTCTTCTCTGACTGCTCTCACGTGTGCTTTTCCATCTGTCCATATTGTCGGAAATTTGACTCCAAACTTCCTTCGATCATATACAAATGAAAAACACATACACACAGGTCACACGGGTGCAAATAATGGTTGCTTCATGCGGCTCCAGCAGGTTTAGCAAACACACTAATGTATGATGTAGTAGGCCGTACTGTAATGGAACTTACCTTGATGTAATGTAATGTAATGTCATGTCATGCAATGTAGCGTAATGTATGGTAGCGTGTAGCGCAATGCAATGCAACGTAACGTATAGTGTATGTACATAGCGACGATATCTGGTTATATTACATTTGCCTGGAAGAGGCCCTCAATTCCAAGGAATGGGAGTGGTCAAAGATATACTGACAATATCTGGTTATATACTTGTACATACACATGACATTAGTCTGCAAGAGGCCCTCAGTTCCAAGGAATGGGAGTGGTCAAAGATGAAGCGAAAGCAGTGAGACTTTTTCGTCATGCAGCGAAACTCGGCGCGGCAGAAGCTGGAGCCCCATCCACATCACTGCCTCACAACAATGCAAGACAGAAACGGACGGAACTGCAGAGATCGGATGAATTCGCTTCAACGCCTCACCAACACTTGGCATGATGCTCTCTGTGACATGTTCGGCGCGAGAGCGAACTTCAATCCAAATTGGTTTTGTTACCAAGGGTATGCTGAACTACGGTTTGGCACTTCTGCGAGGAAGCGGTGGAGTGAAGGCAGAAGATTTGCAAGGCGTGAGGCCTTTGCTTGATCTACTTTTGTTTGTCAAAGGTGGACTATCAAGAAGCTTTGGAGTGGGCGCAGAAGTCTGCAGCGTTGTCACCCTAGCTTTTGCAGATCAACACTCCGCAGATTTGGTTTGATGCTTTGCAATAGAACTTTCCCAAAGTTGACTGACCGACCATCCCACCAACTGACTTTCCTTGCGCTTGCTTGCAAGCCTTTGTAGTCATCATGTTTCTAAGATTGGGGCACGGCTTGGCGCACCAACAGATTCTTGGGCTGCATTTGAGAGCTCTTTCTGCGCAGTGAAGAAAGTCATCCTTCCCGTAGGTTAAGACCGCTGTAGAGATGCAGTGCAAAAACCTCATTTTCCCGGCTGCTTTTTCCCCCTTTTCTTGGTGTTTTTTGGAGCTTCAAAGGCTTTCAATGTTCTTCAATGCTGCCAAGCATCCAAATCCGCCGGCACGCTGTGTGCCGTCTTCAATGGAGGACCTGAATGGGAGCGGTTTGTGCTTGCAAAATGTGTCTCATGTTGTCAGTCTCTCTGTGATTCGGAAGGGTACTTTCCATACAGTCAAGTGGAACTGTGTCTCAAAAATAGCCAACGGCAGCTACTGTAATTGCACAAGAGAAAACGTATGCAGTGTCACGGTCGCCATGCTGGTGCGCAATTTGTTTTGCTACTGGAGATGCTCTTTCAGAGTGTAAAAGGACACTGCTTGAGAACGAGCGTCAATACACTTCCCGTTGAACTCTGTTGACGACTCTTTAGCGCTTTCTGCATTCTGCATTTCATCAAGCCTTGCAGTCGGTCAAAAAGTGCGGAGGAGCTTCGTTCGCTTGGCGTGCGCGAACTGCGAGACCTGCTGCGTTTAGAAGGCGGGACTGTTGGTGTCTCTTTTTGGTCATTGAAGCTGAAAGAAATCCTAGAAGCTCTGCTCCATTGGAAATTCGTGGTCTAAGGCATTGACTTCTCCGATTGCGTAGAGAAGTCTGATCTCATTGCAAGGGCAGCTTTGCATTTGCTTTGGCCTCACTTGTTGCATGATGGTGGAATGCCAGTTTGGGCAGAGATGTGTCGCCCATTGCTTTTCCAATTCGTTGCTAAGAGATGCTAAGAGTATGAAATTGTTCGAGATTGAAGAGCTGTGGATTCAAACTCTACAGTAAGGGCAGACTCAGCATATGAGCAGGGCTGACAGGCTGAGACTTCCAAGAAGTTGTTGGCAATTGTTGGCGCATGTTGGCAAATGCCCAGGCCGGGGGTCGCAGAGCCTTGGGATGCAGCGCCTGAGCGCGAAGCTTAGCTGCTCAGTGTTGCTCAGATTTGCTCGGCGTTGCTCAGCTCTGTCAGCCTGTCCAAACTTCTTTTGGGAGTCGACTGGACTGGACTCGGGTGGACTCTACTTTACCGACTTAACCGAATTAACCCACGGCTTGATGACGTTTGAATATGTTTGATGTTTCTTTGTGACTTGAAGCCCCTTCAAGTATTTCCTGATTCGGGGCAAGGCACACGGTGCTGTTGGAGCCCAAGAAGCTGAGCAAAGAGGACATTATGAGGTGGGCTTCTTGACATGGATCTTCTACATTCTTTTGCCGTATATCTTCTACCACATCTACAACATTCAAACACATCTTCCAGTACTTTCCCGTTGGTTGTGGGTTGTCTTTGTTTGTTTGTTCGTTTGTTCGTTGGTTCATCGGTTCGTTGGTTCGTCGGTTCGTTGGTTCGTCGGTTCGTTGGTCTCGTTGGTTCGTTTGTTCGTTGGTTGGTTGGTTGGTTTGTTTGTTTGTTTGTTTGTTTGTTGCAGTAACTGATATCAACTGTCTCCTGATGAGATCCCATTCGCAACCATGGTGAAGCGGTCATTGTGCGTTTTTTGCAAGTCCGACGCCACCGATCTTTCGTTATGGATGAAAGGGGCAGATCCACATGTCACACACACACACATCACACACATCATCTATATTTAGTTATCAAAGGAAGTTCGGAAGTCTATACTTCCGTGTAGCGGATTTCAAAACTGTAACCCCCACAATCACAACCACCAATCACAACAACCACCGCTATCACAATCCACTATCACAACCAACCCCATCACAACCACAGCCACAGCTATCACAACCACCACTATCACAACAACCACTATCACAACCACCGCTACAATCACAACTATCACAACTACCACTATCACAGCCACCGCTGGCATAGCCACTGCTATCACAACCACCACCTCTCACAGCCACCAGTATCACAACCACAACTACCACAATTGCCACTATCACAGCCACCGCTGCCATAGCCACTGCTATCACAACCACCGTTATCACAACCGCCACCTGTACCTGTCACAGTCACCAGTATCACAGCCGCAAGTACCACAACTACCACTATCACAGCCACCGCTGCCACAGCCACTGCTATCACAACCGCCCAGTATCACAACCACCCAGTATCACAACCACCACTATCGCAGCCACCAGTATCACAACCGCCACGATCACAACCACCGCTATCACAACCACCACGATCACAATCACCACTATCACAGCCACCAGTATCACAACCGCCACAATCACAACCACCGCTATCACAACCACCACGATCACAATCACCACTATCACAGCCACCAGTATCACAACCGCCACGATCACAACCACCGCTATCACAACCACCACGATCACAATCACCACTATCACAGCCACCAGTATCACAACCGCCACGATCACAACCACCGCTATCACAACCACCACGATCACAATCACCACTATCACAGCCACCAGTATCACAACCGCCACGATCACAACCACCGCTATCACAACCACCACGATCACAATCACCACTATCACAGCCACCACGATCACAACCGCCACGATCACAACCACCACGATCACAATCACCACTATCGCAACCACCTCTAAAGCTTCGTGTTCACATCTTGCACTTTGCCTTTTTTCAGGGAAGTCTCCCAGGAAAGCTTCGTTGTCACATCTTCAACTTTCAGCTTTTGAAGGAGGTATCGCACGAAAACTGTGTTTTCACATCTCCAACTTTGAGTTTTCGAGGGAAGTCTGGCACGAAAGCATCGTTTGTATATCTTCAACTTCAACTGTCAGATTTTGAGGCAAGTCTCGTACGAAAGCTTCGTTTTTACATCGTTTTCAGATCTTTAACTTTCAGAATTTTGAGGGAGGTCTTGCACAAAAGCTGCGTTTTCACACCGTCAACTTTCACTTTTTGAGGGAGACCTCGCACGAAATGCGTTTGTGAGAGTTAGCGGATGCACGGAATGACACATTGTTTTGCAGCACAAAACGCGCTTCAGAAGATAGAGGGGGAAGGTCCGCCGCGCGACGTTGCGGGACGGTCTCGGGCGTCTTCGGATCATGGTCGGATCGGCCCCGCGCTGTATCTGCCGCTTCAGGCATGAGGGAAGTCTCGCACGAAAGCTTCGATCTCACATCTTCAACTGTGATTTTTTCAGGGAAGTCTCCCACCAAAACTTCGTTTACACATCTTTCAGGCAAGTCTCGCACGAAAGCTTCGTTGTCACATCTTGACCTTCATTTTTTCAAGGAAGTCTCGCGCGAACGCCTGGATGATGCTGTCGTGGCCAACGAAGACCAACTGCGTGCGTCGTTGTGGACCGCGCAGGGAACCAACTTCCAATTGAACTTGTGTTTGTCCGCGGCTGCGGTGTCTCGCTGGGAAGGGGAAGAGATTTGATGGGATGTCAGCAAATGTAAACATGTAAGGAAAGCAAGAAACAGATACCGAAAGATGAGGTGAGCTGAAAGAAGAAGAGAAGAGAATCGAAAAAAAAAGTGCAGCGGCACGAAAAATCAGACTTGAAATGAGACAAAAGGAGCTGACGCAAGTCTCAGAAGAGCGATGACATGTTGCTCAATTGAAAAAGAACTGCGAAGAATGGAGACGCTGAGAAAAGCTAAAAAGGGAAGAGTTCTGATGAGAAGTGATGAGATGAGAAAAGCTGAGATGACAAAAAAGGGAGAAGAGAGCAGTTGACATCAACCGAGAAGAGATGAGATGAGCTGAGAATAGCAGAGAAGACATGAGATGAGTTGGGATGAGATGAGATGTGGTGAAGAACGCTGGGAAGACACAACATGAGATAAGATGAGATGAGATGAAATTGGCTAAGGTGAAATGACATGACATGAAATGAGAGGACTTGAGGTCGGATGAACATGCGAAAGGATCGTGATGAAATGGGGGTGATGGCACGGAAATGACAACTCATGAATGTGGTGCTGCGAAGCACAGAGGGCTTGCCGGCACCCTACTTCCGCCCTCGGTTTGCACGGGCACTACTTGTATATATAATTAATTGTAATTATATGCAATTAAATGTAGTTATATGTACTGTAGGTATAGGTATTTGTATATGCATATGTATATTTACACGTGTATGTTATCCATATACACTATCCAGTCATTGACGAGATGTTTATATAATGTGTTAAGGAATTCAAAGAAGTTCCGCGCCAGGCAGAGGGCACAGGCTGCCGCTTCAAAGCCTTCAGGCCAAGGCTCATCAAATTGAGAATCTGCACAAACACTTTTACATTTCCATTTTCAAGTGGATCAAGTGGCTCTCTTTCGCTCTCTTTTTCTTTTTACTTAGAAACAAAGTCATTGTTTCACCTCTTTCATGTAGAAAGCCACCCTTCAAACAGCCAGGATATGGCACTGCTCCAGTGGATACGGTTGACAAAGGTGCAAACGTGCCTTGAATGCATATACCTAACGCATTTTGTGTACAATTGTGGATACCTCTGCTCCTCATGCGAGCAACTTGTGACTTTCGATTAAGATCTGATATCCCGACACCTTGTTTGTCGAACTTGGACAGGGTTTCTTGGAGGATTTTTTGAGTTGATCTAACTCCACGTTTGCGAACTATTTTATATTTCATTTTATTTCATTTGCACAGCACAATGTGTCAACCACATTCAACCACGTACTTTGCGAACCCAACCAAAGTTGACGCGGCTATGTGACTGAGGGAGATACCAGGCTGCTAGGGATGTGAACGGGTTGGCCAAGAGAAGCCGAGCAGTTTGGTCTGTTCACCTGTCAGTCTGTGATCCACATGACTAGAACCGGAAACGCTCAGAACACACTGAGGCTCAAACCCCAAACACAGAACAACCCATCACACAACCCGCCACACAACCCATCACAACCACGCGAGACCAAAATGCTGCGTTTGCCAATTTTGAACCACACCTCTTGCACAGTCAGGGGCGACATTTTAGCAGAATGGCAGAATGCTGATAATGCTGCAGTAGAAAGCTCAGGAACCGGCAGTGAAGTTGAGTGAGGCTAGTGGAGGTGGGTTGAGTCGGCTGAGTCGGCTGAGTTTTGGTGCAAATTGATGCAAATTGTTATGATTCCCTTGACTGTCTTGACCTTCATGTCTTTTTGGTCGTTTTGAGCTATGATTTGAACAATACTTCTGTTTAAGTATGTATATATATACATAACATTATATAACAATATTTATAATATATATATATGAGCTTTAGAGCAAGATCATTGCTGAGTCATTGAAGTCTGTGCCGCATTGTACTCTGGTACTTCTGTGTGGTTACATACTGTATATAGTGTTTATTACAACACTTGATAGTTGTTTGGATGGAGATTTGTGAGCTAACACATCCTTTCCCTGTCCCTGTGGTAAAAAGCATTCAGGGAATTGAACTGGGAATGGAACTGGGTTTCATGTTTGGTTCCGCTTATCATGCTGGTGTTCTCGCAGGCCCTGCTCAAGAGAAAGAACAGATGCCAACAGCAAAGCAGGACATGAGTTGACATGATTGCCTTATATTGCCTTGATGAATGAAGTTGTTATTTTGCTGTTCTCCCGAATCAACCTCTCACACCTCATTCGAGTGAATTCTTGTTCATCAAGGTGGTGTGATGTGGTGTAAATGTGCCGTCTTCTCATTGCCCTTCGTGCTGCCACCTCCTTTCCAGCCGCGTTGCAGCAGGAAGGAGAGCCTCTCCCAGATGTTTTTGAATTGGTAGACTGAGCTGAGAATTCCGTTGCCTTGGAGACTGCTCAGATCTTATGAGCCTCTCCTCTTTACAAGGAGTCTTTTAAGAGATGCTGCTTACTGTACCTCCATTGACCTGCAAATTTTGCAGTTTTGAATAGAGGTCTGAATTGCTGACCCCGCATTTTGATGCCTTTCTGAGCCCATTTTGTGTCAGCAAGACAGATGCATGAGCTAGGGATACTTGGGTGTTGATTGAATGCTTGAGTGGAAAGCAGTGGAACGCGCTAAAATCTCAGAAAGATCATTTAGGACAAATTGGCATTTGCCAAGTTTGCTGCGTTGGGGAAAGAGCAAAAACAGCATCGTTGGGGTCGGTTTGCTTCCGTCCTAAGTGTCTTTACCAGCCACAGGGAATTAACACTAAAGGGAAATGCTGCAGAAGCCCTGCGCAGAATTGGTGAAGACTTCCATCGAGCATCGCGTCTCCTCTACAGACGCCAACCGAGAGCTAGAGGCCAACAAATGACATGTAAAACATTGTAAAACAGCAAAAGGATATAAAAGGAGTCAATCCCTCATAGTCTCTCACATTTTGCTTGGGCCTTGCTGCACATAGATTGGTACTTGTGGGATCTTGTGGGATGTTGCCAGCATTTCACTGCTGCGAATCTGTCCATTTGGCAGTTGCGCATCCTTGCAGAGCAGGAGTTGAGGTTCAGTGAGGTCGGGATTGGGGAGCCTCGCAAGATCACCAACCTAGAACACAAACGACACGAGCAATGCAGCGTAATGATCAGCATCGCAATGCATAGCAGACACATGCGCATCATGCGAGCATAATGAAATGAGCATACTGTAATGAAATATGCCAATCATGCTGACATTTCGCTGATGTGCTGAGCTTCTGGGGATTCTGGGGCTTTTAGGTCACATCTCTCAGCCAGCGTTGCTCGACACTGCAACGGGAGCGAGATCAGCTTCAGGCCCTACATGGCCCTATGTTTATTCTGAGGCAAACCACTTGACTGCTCCTTTTTTGCCCTGCATCCTGCATCCCACCTTGCTGCAATCCAACCGAAGGCCAGTTTGACCAACGATGTGGCCCGGCTGTCTGTCCAACTTGAGGACTTGCAGTGACCATTTCATTTTTTTGTTGAATTGCACCAGTTGCAAGTGAACTTAGTGCAGGAGGACAAGCGAAAAATGGAGGAGTCAAGAGCTATGAAGTCATTCAGACAGTGGTGACATCCATTTCAGTCCCAATAAGTACAGAGCTTGCCCAGCAAGCTACTTAGGCAAGATCACTCATTTTTAACACTTTTTTGGTCCTGCTCAGTACGTACATTCAAGCCCCACCGCTGTATGAGATTTGGTGGTTGTACACACAGGGCGTACTGAACTCTTGCAATCTCTTGAATACTGTACCACTGTCTCTTCAGTCGATACTTCTTGAGTGAAGAATTGCAACAACCATTCCTTTAAGCTGCGGAAGTTGGCAGTGGAGCATGAATGCTTTGCAGTATTTGCCCAGGTATTTCTGTTTCGCTGCTGTCACTTATATATATAATATAAATGGTTTGACAGCCTAGATATGCCTCGATATTTCTTGATTGCGGAATATTATGAATATTATGAATATTATGGAAAGACTATGCTTAAGATTCTCAAGATGTCTTCCTTACTCGGTCAATCTCAGTTATATATATATAACATACTTTATATACTGTAAATATATATATATAATATAGTTATAAGTATACATACCAGCTACGATGTGCAAGTCTTTCAGTGATAGGAGTGTGAAGTGTTGAGATCTGAAGCTGAAGCAAAGCAGCAAGCCTCCGATGCCTTGACAAAGGATCAGGCTGAGGCAGTGGCACTGACCAGCCGGAACTCAAGGTATACAGTAGAATTGCAGTTCAATTACACTTTGCAGTGTTCATGTATATTCCTATCTGCTGTTTACAACTTCATTTGTGCAGGAATTAAAGCAGTGCAAGGCCGCCATTGACGAAATGATGTGTAAGCGCAAAGAGCACACGGACTTGGTGTCTTCGCAAGAACAGGACGAGACTGAATGCAGATCCACATATGACACCGACACGAGTCCGACAAGATCCGACAAGAATATCAGCGAACTCTACGGTTCTGTGACTGAATGAGACCCCTCACTGAATGAGACCCCATCGTTTTTAGTACATGTTGACCAGTTGTTTCCTGGGAACACCTTTTGGATGCTTTTGGTGCAGATTTGTTGAGACGGAAGGAGCTGCAAAAGTGCAGAGATGTGATCCACCAGTTGAAGTCTGAGGGCTCCGAACAGTCATCAGTGATGCAAAGCAAACAGCAGGCGGGTGGCCTGCGCTTGCTGCCCTGTTGTGGAGTGCAACATGATGTCATGCGACGATAGAGACTATGGACAGACCATTGTCCAAAGATACCAAGCCAAGTTCTCTGCATCTCTCTCTTTCTGTCACTGCAGGAATTAGATGGCTTACGAATGGAACTTGCAGACAGGCAAGCGACGGCACGACGACTAGCAGAGGAGCTGTCATTTCTCCATTTGTCAGATTGAACACCACACTCTGATTTTCCAGTTTTTGGCCATTTGATTGTCGCAGGAACGCGACGCACTTCGGGTTTCAGAAGCAAAAGAGTTTTCTTTGGCTTCTGAACGTGGGGAGGTGCTGGGGGGAAATCCTTAGGAACAATATTGAACAATATGAAGCAATATGGAACAGTATGGAACGTCATGAATGTTCGCCAAAGATTAAAATTTGTGGTCCCAGTGTTATCAAGTGCTGCTGGTTTGGCTAGCAGTGCAGCAAGCACATGTCAGGAAACATCGTGGAGCATCACGTATATTTGGCACGTCTTGCGTCTGCAGGAGTTGCAACTGTGCAAGGATGCTGTAGAGCAAATGAAGTTGAAGAACAAAGAGCAACTCGCTTGGGTGTCTAGCCAAGAGGAGGAATGCAGCCCCTTTCAGCGCTGTGCGGCTCGTTCTAAACTTTTGCCTTTTGTTGCGAAAGCTGGGACTTTGCATCTTTGCATCGCGATGTAAACAGGCTGTCAAGTCCAATCTTGAACAGCTAATTATCAGGCCTATCAATTAAAATGCGCCACAGACCCACAGACTTTACCGGTCTGATCCGGTCTGGGTCTGGAACACACCTTTTGGATGCTTTTGGTGCAGATTTGTTGAGACGGAAGGAGCTGCAAAAGTGCAGAGATGTGATCCACCAGTTGAAGTCTGAGGGCTCCGAACAGTCATCAGTGATGCAAAGCAAACAGCAGGCGGGTGGCCTGCGCTTGCTGCCCTGTTGTGGAGTGCAACATGATGTCATGCGACGATAGAGACTATGGACAGACCATTGTCCAAAGATACCAAGCCAAGTTCTCTGCATCTCTCTCTTTCTGTCACTGCAGGAATTAGATGGCTTACGAATGGAACTTGCAGACAGGCAAGCGACGGCACGACGACTGGCAGAGGAGCCATTTCTAACCATTTCTGGCAATTGAGACTTGGAAAGCTACTTGAGAAAATGATAAACATGACAAGCCGTGCAACAGATGAAAACATATTCCAGTTCCACCACTATGAGCGGCGCACACCCACGCAGACACACTTCATATAGACGCGCGTTGGCATTTACTGCAGGTTTTTAGCCTCGGCTCCAAACATGAAAGATAAAATGCAGGGTTTCAGACTATTTAGATAAGTCATAGTTGTAAAGACCAAACAAGAAGCGGCACGCAAGGAATTACGATTTATCAACCAAACCAGGAAACGACATTTTGACAAACAGTCATATACATTCTTTCATATTCTTTTACTTCGAACCTTTTGGATTGATAGTTGTTCATAATTTTTCAAGGGAATTGGGCCGAGAACATCAAAGGCAATGAAAGGAACCGTAGATCCACCACACCAAGACGGCACAACACATGAGAGTCACAATCAAATCTTGACAGAATGTGGGAGAAATATCTCATGACTTGCCCTTCATTGCTTTGGCAGCTTGCTGAAAGGCATCAACGATAAACAAGAGTCTCTTGAGGCTTTTGTAGGCCCGCTGCAACACCTCAAATGTGCTCGCACAGCATACTAAACATCTCTCCGACCAAGGATGCAAAAAAGCTTGATCGGAAAGAGTTGCAGACTCTACTCGTTCATGGCAATGGCAATGAGGTGTCCTCCAATCTTCACTGGCAAGACACAACCCCATGAAATTGGTTTGCAAATTCATCAAGGAGAGTGTCCCCGGAAAGAAAAAACACATCCTCAGTTTGGAGACTTGGTGAACATAGTTTTGAATGGTGAAAGAATTTCTGAAAGAAATGACAACAACAAAATATAACAACATCTTACAAAAAATAGATACTGTAAAATCTGAATGCTTCTCAAATAAGTGAAATGTTTCATAGGAACGGCATGTCGTTGCAGTGCTAAGCCGGAACTTTGCTCAGAGCCTTCACCATCCCTCCGCCAAATTCAAAAACTACGGCGGAGGCGAAACGAGATTTCGATACGAACGGATAATGACACATCATGCGGAAACTGCATCTTCAGTATATATATATATATACATACACATCTGTGTATATATATATATATGTACATGTATATATATATATACACACGAATATACATATATACATGTATGTATATACATATATACATGTACGTATATGCATCTTTGGATGTAATATATATATATATGTACATGTGCCTCCGTCCTCCTGCCAAGCAGCATCCTTTTTAGCAGTGTCGTCGCTTTTGGTTTTCACAGCCTATTTTTTGATGTTCCCGAAACTTGGGAACGTTGACGAGAAACCAACCATATGGGATCATTCTTATCATGTATATACATATGTATATACACATATGTATATATACATATATATATATACACACACATATATATACAGTATGTATATGTATACGTATGTATATATATATAATACATATATATATACACAGTATGCCACTATAATTATATGTATATATATATATTGTATGTATATATATTTATTATATAGTGAATATTGTGTATATATATACACATTATCTATATATTTATAATTACATATTTACACGGTATATTCAATGCGGTATTCAATATGCTATTCCTGCCGAACTTTGGATTGGCGCTTGCAACTTCTTCAATGTTTACCAGTGTAAATCATGACTGACAGGTTGCCACAACGGGATTACACTTTCAGATTTGTTGCAAGTGGTCAAGCGTCTCGTAGCCAAGTTCAGCCTGACGATGATACAGTTAAGTTGTGTTGAGTGGCAAGGAGCGAGAACAGTTTCGTTCAGAAGCTGACCAGCTACTGGCGACTGAAGCAATGCAGCTTGTGAGGATCTCCCAGCGTGCCGAGGCAGATGCTGAAACTACAGCATGCAATCAGCGTGCAATCAGCATGCGTGTTTGATCTTGGTTGTACAATCTGATGCACTTTGCACAATTTGACTACTTTGGACACGTAGAAGGTAGATCAGGTAAATATAAAATGATATAAACATGGCACTGTGTGAAAGTGTCAAGAGTTTCTACTCCTGGCAGGAGCTACAAACATGCAGAGAAGAGGTCGAGCGACTGAAGTCAGAGGGAGTGGAGCAATCTGCCCTTGCAAGGCGACAAAGCCAGGACGGTGGCTTGCCACTTTGCTTACCACTTTCAAACATCAATAACAAATCGTAACGCATCGTAAAGCATCGTAAAGCAATCACCAGCATTTTCTCAGAGGAGATACGGCACCAGAAGCAGGAGATTGAACAACTTCGTGGTGAAGTCATGCGCAAAGAGGCAGCTGCCGCCCGCCTCCAAGAGGCTGGAGGGAATTCACGGTCCTGCAAGACATAAAAACTCTGTCACGGTGTGCCACAGTGCGCTGTCAAAACGTATCAAAACGTCAAAACAAGCCCGGCAAGAGACAGACCGCCCGATATGATACACGACAATACAAAAGATACAGCAAGCTACAACAATTCTACAACAAGCTACAACAAGCTTGAAATCATGTGACATCGTTTCAGGATTTGTCGAAAAAATGGTAAAACATCTTCTTTGAGTGCTTCCAACTGGTTTAAAGATGTTTAGAGGCCAAACTGGCTCAACCATTCACCTCAGGCACGGACTGGTTTGGTCCCCGCCTCAGCGACTTTGGAATTTTAATGCCTGAAGCCTGAAGCACCACTTGGGTACTATGTTTCATGATCGTGGAAATAGCAATGCAAAACAACGTAGAATATTCTCAAACAATACCAAGCCCCTTCTTCCCATTACAAGCCTGTCGCCCTCTCCTTCCATGAGCTTGGATTGGATGCAGATTCTCCGTTGCTATTTCATTTTGGCTCAGACTCAGTATTCATGCCTTGTGGATGAAGTAGTGGGCAAATTGACAGCTAGCAGGTAGCGCTTGTTGAAGACTAAGGAGAAAGCACAGGCTCAGACCATGCCAGCCTCTAGCCCATTCAAACTTAGGGCTTTTGTGTGTTTCTACTTTGTTGGCACGTCACTTCCTCTGTGGAATTTCATAGCCATGGGCAGTTCTGCGCTCAGATTTGGGTGACTCTCTCTCTCTCTCTCTGTCTCTCTCCCTCTCTCTACCTGCCTGCCTGCCTACCTACCTACTGCAGATCTTTCTAGTGTTTTAAGCCCATGAGAGAGAGAGAGTTTTGTTTTTCGGCAAGCAAACGACTCTCTCCTCCTTCTCTCTGCCTCTATCTCTGTGGTGCTTTTGTTTGTTCTTTCTTCCTCGGTATGTTAAAATGGCGTAGCTTCTCCCGGTTCTCTGTCTTTTGTATCCTTGAGGTGGCGCGTCCAAAAAAGGATGGGGACGGAGGCCGAGGGCCTAAAATCAGCAATGCGAGAAGGTCTCAGCCATCATTCGCAGCGTTTGCTCAACATGTTTTTCCTTTGTATAGCAAACCAGTCTCAACTGCTTGCATGTCTTTGAGGTTTCACATCACATCCAATGTACCAGAACCTGAAGGGGACACGTGCTTCCATCAGAATCAAGCAGTCCAATTGAACAACTGCACGGGCATTGTCTTGCATATCATCCACTTTCGTCACAGAGCCGAAAAATCATTGGTGATTTCCTCACATGTCTTCACTTCACAACTCTAAAGATCAGATTTTGTATTGCCAAAAGGTACCAGCAGATCTTCCCTGTTTGGACGATCGCAGCGGATTGCCAAGATGCATCAAGACAAAGATGTTTCCTCAGCTGCAGTCAAAGGAAATTGCAGAATGGCAACGGAGCCAAGGTCACGAAAAATCAGCGGCAGCTTGCCACTGCCACAAGCGACAATAGAATAAACCTTTGGTTGGAGTCTGAGATACTTCTACAACGCTTGCTGCATTGGCGTGGGCGCAGCTTCCTCATGACCCTGCTCATTTCAGTATTATACAGTATATTATCAGTATATTTGTTTGTTCATTTTGTTCTTGCGAGGTGCTTGGTAACGCATCAATTGCTTGCACCGTTGATTGGACATGCTGATACGGTCCGACACTTCAGATCGCAGAGTGTCCAGATTGTGGCTATAGATAAAGCAAACTCAGATAATTTCGACTGTATTACTTACTTTGACCTTGCGAGATGAAGCTTTCAAACAAATGCACGGAGAAAATTACGCCCTTCAAGAAAGTGAAGCTGTGCAACCGGAGCCAAGCTACCATGCACCATGCTCTGAGATTTGGCGCCTGGCTTACTCCCCGGACGACTTACTACTAGCTTCGACTAGTGCTGATGGTACAGTTCGTCTTTGGGAGGACGGCGATGATGTTCTTGCAGATTTTTGAATTGTCTGAGTGCTTCGTCCTCACTGGAGTGAAGAACTGGCGACCGAAGCACTGTACCGTTCGCAGGTCAGCACAGGTTTGCCAGTTATGATCCTTCCCAGAAACCATGCAAACTGGGTGGAGCCGGCACGGTTGACTTGTATTGATGGTGCCAATAGTTGTGCCACCATCTGGTTTGTGTTGGACCGCTTTGCTTTCTGTTTTTTTTGCTTGAGTCTTTGTTTTTTGCAGGTATGGAGTCTGGCTTGGTCTCCAGACGGGAGCAGGCTTGCAACAGGAGGCCTGCAAACCTGAAAGAGGTCATGTTGTATGCCCTCACACTCTCTATCTCAAGCTCTTGAGATTCATAGACATCATGATCATCCTTGATGTAGCTGCTTGTATTCATTTGCTCAAGTATTTTTCTTCTTCTTGTTCCTCTTATTCCTATTGTTCCTCCTGTTCTTCTTGTACTTATTCATTATTATTTGACAGTTTCTATATGCTTCTATACAGTTTTTATTGTTCTTCTTCTTGGCTTTGTTTTGTGTTCTGTTTGATAGGTTTTTGTAGCTTTTTTTTTGTGGCAAACTAGAGCCGCACTTTCTCTTGCCCAACTAGCTTTGCTGGACCGAGCAGGTTCAGATGCTCGCATTCTGGTCTGGGATGCGCAAGAGGTTGGAACTAATGCAGAGCTGATCTGCATTTGTCCGTCTTATACATGGTATCTATCTGCCATTGTCAAAGTCCTCAGTCTGTCTTGCGCCATCAAAAAGATTCAAATGCACTTTGTGGAAACGAGGCAGCGGAAGGGGCACAGCGTGTGCAAGAGCTTAGTGCTCGAGCCGCTATGGAGCGAGCACACCGTGTTGACTGTTGTGATGTGGATTTCTTCTGAATTCTTTGCGATGGCTGCAAACATATGATACATCCTGCAACTGTATGACATAGTATATTATATTGTGCATAAAGACGCGTGCTATACACGTACTGTATATATATAGGTATATTCAGTATATATATACATATTCAGTGTGTATATATATACATATATATATATGTTATGTGTATATATATATATACAATATATATATACACATACAATATATACACTATATATGTTATGTGTATTTATATATACAATATATATATATATATGTATATAAGTACACTATATATATATACAATATGTAAATATATATATATACAATATGTATATATATATACAATATGTATATATATGTATAAACGCAATATATATACAATACATATACAATATATGTATACGCTATATATATATATACAATATATATATATACAATATGTATATATATATACAATATATATATATAAACGCAATATATATACAATACATATACAATATATGTATACGCTATATATATATACAATATATACATATATATATATATGTATACACAATATATATATATATGTATGTATATACACATTATATATATATGGATTATATATACGCTATATATATACAATATATATATATATAAATATTATGTACACATACAGATTGATTTGATATACACATTGACATACACCGAATATGTATATATATATATATTCATTCATAAACACACACACATATATATATACACATGTATATGTACATATCATATATTTACAGCTATTTCTGCTAAAATCACCTCGACACAAACACACGCACACACACACACGTTGGGGTGGATATGTAAATGAATAAATAAAAATATATACATGTAATATACATGTATTTTCAATTCTGTATATAAAATAGATACCGGGATAACGTATAGAGGATATACGTAGTTATTTAGTTAGTTAGATGGATGGATGGATGGATAGATAGATAGGTGGATAGACAGATAGATGTCGTGATGCACTATAGGTGTACAATGTGTTGACAATGTGTATGTATGTATACATATGCTGATAATATGTATAAATGAACACACATATGTTGATCATTCATATGTAGATTTTGTAGATATATAGACGTAGAGAGAGAGAGATGAGAGAGAGAGAGAGAGGAATGCATATTCTCCCAAGTCCAAGCTACTCTGAACACTCTCTTCTATTCAGGACCCTTCTTGGGCGCAAACAGCGGCTGAGGAAGCTGAGAAGGCCCTGTGATGTGGGGATTCAAATAGACATGTCTCATCGTGACCTCAGCCTTGCAAAGTGGGGCTTTGGAAATCCCTTGAATATCTCGTTTTGAACGTGTTTGAATTGTGAACTTGCGTGACCATGGAACTTCTGAGACTAAAACATACTAAAACAGGCTGGACCCGCCGCTGCTGGTTCAAGCGAGGGGATGTGAAGGGGTGTTCGGGTTCACATCAACACTGCTGTAGAATATTTGTTGCAAGGCCATGCACAGTTCTTTCCTTGACTACACTTGCCCCTGAACTATTTGCCAGACCATAGTTGACGAGCCGAGGAATAGCTAACTTGCAATGTTTGCAATAGAATGGAAATAGAGACATCCTGCCTGGATTCCGGACTCCTGCTTCGATCAAGTGTGAGACCATATAGTGTGAGACTGTCTGGAGCTCAAACAGTACTGTGAGAGTTCTGATCTGGTTCACTCAGGTCGTAGCTCTCACTGGATATCGTTTATTGGTGCTACAAAAATTCCTCGTTTTCCAGGTATTGAAGTAATGGACAGGCTCAGGATGGAAAAAGCATGGTTGGCAATAGTATGTGTGTATACACAAGCGCGTACATACACTATTGTAGACGTCCACGTCCACGTCCACATAGACATAGACGTACACAAAGACACAAACACACACACACAGACACACAGACACATACACACAAACACACATCCATACATACACACACACACTCTCACATATACATACGCATACACATGCCCATGCACATCCACCTACAAGGTACTCTCGTTAAGTCGTCTTGTCCTGCAGAAAGTCGTCGGGATGTGGCGTGCAGCTGGGCACTTTGATGTTTCAGCATGTTTGACAACACATGTAATGATTGCGGATCTTTATTTTTGTTGGCGTGCGTGTGGTGTTTTGATGTTTTGGCGAGCTTCGCGATTACCTCATGAGTTTTTCGCAGGCCTAGACTGGGGTTTAGCTGGGACTCGCGCGGTACTCGCGCTGACTCGCGCGGCACTCACGCTCATCCACCGTTCTTGTGCCGCAATTGATTTCGATGTATTGCAGATTTGCATGCCTGCCTGTACCGTAATTTTTCCAATTGGTTCATACACTTTTTGAAGGAACTAGTAGTCATATCACATCCGCGTGCACATGCTGATTTGGAATTCAAACATGAGTAAAATGCACATTTTACCTCAGCGTGCGCAAGAAAATCCTTATCACGAAAGGTAGCGTCAGCTACCTGAGTTCTCCGTGCTTCAGCACAATCATAGGGGGTATTGGGGGGCCAGCCCGTGGAAAACGTAGACTTCTCGACGTTATGTATTAGATATCAATTATAAGGGGCCCCCCCCCCTCTAAAATGGTCATGGGTTCAATTCCCACGGGTGACGCGGTCACGGTCCGCCACAGTAGAGGCACACTCTCCATGAGGGAGATGTCCCTGTAGTCCAGCATAATTGGTTTGCTTTAGCCTCAATAACAGTTGCTGCAAGGGGTCTTAAAAAGGGGTTTTAAATAAACCCCTTTTTGTGCATCATTTCACGCTGCACAAGACACCGTATCATGCAGCCATGCTCTGGATAAAACCATCTTAGACTGCGCAAAAACGTTTTTGGTGTATCATCTTAGGGGCGCAGCATTTTGACACCACTCCTCTCCCACTACACTACCTTTCGTCCGCCTCCGCCTGCTCTCAAGTTTCAAACTCTTTGGGGAAGATCTTGTAATGTAGTGTTCACATGGTGTTTTCTCTTTTTCTGGGTGACTTTCCACAAGCCGGGTGACTTACCACTAACGTAGCGTGCCCATGCGGGAGGATGACTTACTGCGACCCCGGGTGACTAAACTCCAGCACTTGTACCTACCTACCTACCTACCTACAGCCATCCAGCCATCCAGCCATCCAGCCATCCATGCATCCATGCATCCATGCATCCATGCATCCATGCATCCATGCATCCATGCATCCATGCATCTATGCATCCATGCATCCATGCATCCATGCATCCATGCATCCATGCATCCATGCATCCATGCATCCATGCATCCATGCATCCATGCATCCATGCATCCATGCATCCATGCATGCATGCATCCATCCATCTCATCCATCCATCCATCCATCCATCCATCCATCCATCCATCCATCCATCCATCCATCCATCCATTTACACACATTCACACATTTACACATTTACACACATTTACACACATTTACACACATTTACATCCATCCATCCATTTACACACATTTACACACACACATTTACACACATTTACACACATTTACATAAGTTTACATACGTTTACATACGTTTCCATACGTTTACATACATTCACATACGTTCACATACGTTCACATACGTTCACATACGACCACATACGTTCACATACGTTCACATACGTTGACATACCTTCACATACGTTCACATACGTTCACAAACATTTACATTCGTTTACATATGTTTACAATCGTTTACATACGTTTACATATGTTTACATACGTCTACTTTACAAACGTTTAAGTACATTTACACACATTTACACGCGTCTACATACGTTCACATACGTTCACATACCTTCACATACGTTCACAACATACGTTTACATACGTTTACAATCGTTTACATACGTTTATATACATTTGTTACATACTTTCACAAACATACGTTCACATCATACGTTTACATACGTTTACACACGTTTACCCACGTTCGCTTACATTTACATACGTTTACATATATAACACGTTCACATACGTTCACATACCTTCACATACTTTCACAACATACGTTTACATACGTTCACATACGTTCACAAACGTTCACAACATATTGCATATGTTTACCTACGTTTACATCCGTTTACACACGTTTGGACACGTTTACACACGTTTACGCTTACATACCTTTACATACGTTTACATACGTTTACATACGTTTACATACGTTTATATACGTGTACAAACGTTTGCAAATATACGTTCACAACATACGTTTACACACGTTTACACACGGTTACATATGTTTACATACGCGTACATACGTTTACACACACATTTACACACGTTCACATACATTTTCATACATTTACATCCGTTTACACACGTTCACATACCTTCACATGCCTTTACATAAGTTCACATACATTCACCCATGTTCACAACATCGGTTTACATCCGTTTTCATTCGTCACATGCACACATCCAAGTAAACTTAGGCCAGAACCTACTAGCCTGAGGCTGAGGCTTGAAATGACCATTATGCGTTTTCGTGGTCGTTGATTTGAAGTCAAATACTTGATTTCTTGTCCTTCTTCAACCAGCGCCTCTCATGATTTCTGGTGCATCACTAGTGTTGTGCAATTTCAGTGTCCATTACAACATGTTTAGTGGTGATTTCTTGCTGTGCCTTCTGGGCTATTGGCTTAACTTGGCTCAAAAAGTCTTGACAGTGCAGTGACCCACACGCACACACAATAATAGATACATCAAGATCTATCAAATAGATAGCCTATGTCCGGATTTATCCCCTCACTTCTCAGGTGCACTGTGTAGCCTCTTTGAGGAAGTCCTCAAATGTACAATTCCAGCAACAGCTGCTCCACAGCCCTGCAATTTATTCACCTAGTTATTACATACGTGTGTTTTGTCATTTCTGTGTCATCGCACCTTTTGCACTTCAATGCCAGTCTTTAAACCTGGCGCGATGTGGTTGACCAGAATTCCCCGGAATGCAGCTGGTCAGGCAGAACTTGGACTGCATTAGACCTATTTTGTGTTTGCTGCGAATGATAAGGGTTTTATTTTGAAGGTCCAATTTCAACATGTTCAAACTGTTCTTGATCGGAGTTGCACTTTTATGTTTCTGTATGTTTCTTTTGCGGCCGTTCTGCTAGAACTTGTTCATTTGAGGTCCTCAGACGTAGCTCGCTATCTTCCCTTGGACCACACCTTCGGCGTGTGCGTTGGCATTCCACTGAGGCAATGATTGATTTGCCCATGTTGATCCTGTTTGTGGGTCTTTCACAGAGGGACAGCGAGCTGTAAGCTTCCCATTCTTGACGCAGTTCGTTCCGCATTTGCGCAGTCTTGAACTCTTGAACCCGTAGAGGCTTCTGATCTTCAAGCTCCACCTTCGCCACGTATTCCACCACCTGTCCAGCCAGTCTTGTGGGGTACCAGCATGAAGGCAAGGGCAAGGGTCTCGGGGACATGTTTTTTTTTTCAATGGAAGCGACAATGTCATTGACAATTCTTTGTCCTTGTCCACTGATCACACTTGGTAGAGTGGGGATGCATTGTGGTCATTGTGGTGATGGGGATACAGTGGATATCCACACACTCAATGCATCTGCAGATGCATGTAATTTGCTTTTGCAGGCATTGGTCAAGAGTGAGCGTGACGTCGGACTCACTATGACAGATGTGCCCAAGCCTGCAATCGGGCCAAATGATGTCCTCATTGAGGTCCAAAAGAATCTTGGACTGCATTACCCTGAAGGAGCGGGCAGTCTTTCGAGTCTTCTGTTCTAGACAGAATCTAGAAGGCGCCGCATTAGCGCTTGTGATTTGTTAGAATGAAGGAATGCCCCATGATACTGTGTGATATGATATGATATGACATTATATGATATGATATGATATGACATGATATGATATGATACGTTATGACATCATATGATATCATATGATATTATATGATACGATACAAGACGATATGATATGATATGACATCATATGATTTGTTATAGTATAATATGTATAATATAATATTATATGATGTAATACATAAGGTAATACAAGCTTACAGAATCTTACAGATAAAAATATACAACTATGCAGCTGCATGACGTAAAACATAGATATAGACGGTATAGATCTTCCTTATTAAATAGGACCCGATTTGGGTGCAATGGCTTGAAGGATCTTGAAGACCCAGGATGTGGCACTCGTGATGAGCCCAACAGAAAATGACATCCTAAAAGACGAGCTGAGGACTGCTATTTGTGGGACTGATGTGCATATCTACGAGTGGAATGATTGGGCAAAGCGCACGATTCCAACACCTATGGTAGTTGGACACGAATATTGTGGTGTCATCAAAGAATTGGGTCACGACCTCAGGGTGCAAAAGGCGCAGGAGTCACAGAGTATCACAGAGTAGAAGAGTTATATATATATATATGTATATATATATATGTATATATATATATGTATATATATATATGTATATATATATATACAGACACTTGCATATTATATTAAATTACACACATATATATATTATAAATATATGCTATTTCTATACAGAGAGAGAGAGAGAGAGATAGAGAGAGAGAGAGAGACATATGCATGTACACATAATTCATGCAGGACATGTTTGCGTATATACAGATAGTTGAAACCACATCTCCATATTTATGCATGAATGATATGAATGTGCCACATTGAAGCAAGGTTTAGCATGCAGTTCTATGCAGAGAGTGCACACAGCTTTAGAATGCAGTTTGCATATCCCCCTACAATCCTTGTATAGTCGGCAAACAAGTAAACAGCTGAAGGGTCGCAAATGCCGATTATTTTGAGTGTTCCCAGTTTGAATTCACAAGCTGAGGTTCCGAAGTCACTGGCCTGACAGTTGGCGCAAGGGTGACCGGAGAAGGCCACATCACATGTGGCTTTTGCCGCAATTGTCGTGCAGGACGGCGACATTTGTGCAGGGAAACTTTCGGAGTTGGGGTGAACCGTCCTGGGGCATTCGCCGAATACCTTTGCCTTCCTTCATACAATGTCTTCCAGTTGAACCAACAGGTGTCGGACGATGTCGCCAGCTTCATGGACGCATTGGGCAATGCGACGCACACTGCCCTTTCGTTCAACTTAGTCGGCGAGGATGTTCTCATTACCGGTGCAGGGCCAATTGGTGTCATGGCTGTGGCGATTTGTCGGCATGTGGGTGCCAGGCACATTATTGTCACTGATATCAATGACTACCGCCTTGAGCTTGCTAAGAAGTGTGGGGCCACCAGAGCCGTGAATGTGAGTGGCGGGGATCCGACACACAAATTGCAGCAGGTGATGAAAGAGTTGAACATGACAGAAGGCTTCGACGTGGGTTTAGAGATGTCAGGAGTTCCCAGTGCTGTTCATTCAATGCTTGAAACATTGAACGTGGGAGCACAAGTTGCTTTGCTGGGTATTCCTTCCCAGCCCTTCGCAATCAACTGGGACCATGTGGTTTTCAAAGGCCTTGTAATCAAGGGAATCTATGGCCGCGAGATGTTTGAAACCTGGTACAAGATGCAACTTGACGGAAGGATGGGTGGGATGACAGCACAGGAGCTTCGTCCTTAAAAGAACGACCAATCCATCCCAATCCCCCAACCCTACTAGATCCTACTAGATCCTACTAGATCCTACTAGATCCTACTAGATCCTACTAGTAGCTAATAGCTAATGTAGCTACTTAGTAGCTACTTAGTAGCTGTTAGTAGCTGCAGCTTCTTAACTTGTCCTATTGCGAAGCACTTCTTGGTTTTTTTCGTGAATCCACCTGAATGATCAGGGTATGCGACGCTGGAACCGTTGTATATATGTTTTTACAAAGCCAGAACTGCTGCATAATGAATCCCCCATTGATGGTGTTTGCATGTCTGTCTATCAACCATTTCTCTATTTCATTCTTTGCAACTTTTGAATCATTGCGATCGCTTCTCCATTGATATTCCAGAGACTTTTTCGTGTGTCCTCGGTCTTTTAGGTCTCTCATCTTCTCAGGTTCATTGATCAATGTCGTTCTTCTCATCACAGTCCCATTTCAGATTCAGGAGATTTAGATTGCACACTTTGACTGATACTGATGCCAAAGCTACAGCTGAGGCAAAGCATGCTAGTTGGAGGACTTCAAGAGAAGATAGCACCTGTCATCACTCACAGGCTTGCCGGCTGAGAAACTGTGAGTCAATCCTTTGTGCCTGTCAATGCTTGGAATATCTGAAATATCTGAGAATATTTAGAATCCCAAAGTGATTTGAATATTCCGAATCTGATGCGCCAGGTTCGACATCGATGCCTTTGACCAGGGATTTTCAGCCATGCTGTCTGGACAGGCTGGAAAAGTGGCCGATGCCTCAGGCTTGTGCTCTGCCTCAGCACCAACACTTCAGAGCATTTCACAGTCTCAAGATGTTTTACTGTAAATTGATTAACATTGTCCAAGATAACTTAGGATGTCTTAAGTATAGTATCGAGGAAACTTGGCACCTTTTGATATTTTTGATAGTGTACCTTTTGAATTTTTCCTGGGCTGGAAGCAGTGTCCTCCCCGAGGTTCTGAATTGGAAATGATGCGGTGAGCCTTTGTACAGTGTAGCGAGTTTTGCAGGTGCAGCCTGTGCAGCCGTGCATGTGCCTTTTGCACCAGTTTGCACCTTGCATCCAGACCAACGGCTGACCGCCAGCCCCCAATTCCACCCAGTTCTTTGTTTTTAGAAGGTTGTTGAAGTAGTTGCTAGCAAAGAATTGCAAAGAAGGCCGACTCTGAGAATTGGGTTGTGTTGGTCTCTTTAAAGGGTCAGGTGAGTCGCATGTGACGAGTTTGTCAGATTCATGGCAGCAAAGCACGTTTGGTGCTTTGCTTTGAAACAAGCTGAACCTGTCAGCAGTGCGGGAAAAGACCGAAGTGTGGTAAGAACTGCTTATCCCAGATGCCGTCAGATCCAGTCACTTTTCGATGTATGAAGCAAATCGACTTTGAAGTTGATTTTGCTTCATTATATCATTTACTCCACCTCTTTCTTGACCATGCCCGCGTCAGGCAGCAAAGCCAGCTGTTAGCGCAATGCGGAAAATGGAGCCTGTGAATTCCAATCATGTTGTAGTTGCATCCTGCTCATTAGTTTTCTATTAGCCCGCTTGAAGTTGTCAAAGGAAGTTTGTTAGGAAACTTCTGAGTTACATACGGACAAATGTCAATGGGTAAATTTGACCTCATAAAGTCAACCACACAGGAGGCATTACTGTAGATCATTAGCTAGGAAGTTTACCGATCAGGGAGTGACGTGGAAACATCAGGGAATGATACGAGTCGGTGAGCGTGGGAAAAAGTCTGTGTACACATGAGTCTGCAGGTGAAAGGAAGTGCGTAAACGAGGCTGTGTTTGCAGGTTTTGTGGCTCGAGTGGTCGCCAAGGGAAAGCCGTTGGAAAAAAGCGCACGTGACTGTAGCAAGGGCTTGGTTTTCATCAAAAACGGCTAGCGTGGAAAAGTCTGCACTGTGTATGTGGCGCGCAGTTGACGATTTGGTGCGGCTCTTCAGAATGGCTATGCAGAATGCATTGGAACTGCTTTGCGATGAAGGGGTGCTGCGTCCGTGCTTTGCGGGATTGCAACTGCGTTGGAACTAAGAGATGTGGAGGTCAGTGCCAAGTGGGATTGCAACCACTGGTTGCGAAAAACATTGGAACTGCTGCGCGACGAATAGATGTGGAGTTTTTGGCGCGTTCCTGCTGTCTGGGAGTGTGAGAGCAAAACAGGCTCAGATTGAGAGAAGAGGTGGTGGAGAAGAGATAGCGCTGCATTCCAACGCTTGGTTTGTTAAGCATATTTAAGCATAAAAGCAAGGGGATGCGCTAATACGCCTCCTCGGCACGCACCGATGAGAAAGGCATTGTCCCGAGCTGCGCCTAGCATTGGAGGGCAGCTGCGAGTCTCTAGAATCACAGTGTGCTGATGAGATGCATTCATGATCATTCATGCTTTCGTTCCCTTCTCCTTTCTTCCTTCCTTTCTTCCTTCCTTCCTTATCTTCCTTCCTTTCCGTCTTTCATTATTCATGCATGCATGCACTCATTCATTTCTTCTGTCAGTCTTTCGAGTAGATTCAAGTAAATTAGTTTACAGTAATAAATTTCATTCATTTGCTTTCACTTGATTTCATTTCACCTCATTTGCCATTTCCAGTCAACCCAAATCAGTCCAAATATATAACTTCCTTTCATGTCATTCGTGTTCAGTCATTCCACCAGTTTCATTCGTTTCATTCATGTCATTGGCTTCAGTGATTCCATTAGTTTCAGTCATGTCATGCATTTCATTCCATTCGTTCCCCTCATTGACTTCGATTCAGCTCAGTAATATCAACTCGTTCCGTTCATTTCGTTTATTTTATTTGTTTCATTCCTTTGATTCTTTTCAGTCGTTTCATTCGTTCATTAATTTCATTCATGTCGTTCACTTGATTCGTTCCGTGCATTTCGTTCAATTCATTCCACTCATTGGTTTCATTTCAGTTCAACTCATTTTAGTCTGAATTCAGTTGCTTCAGTTCATTCGTTTGATTTATTTTCATTTCATTGGACTTAAGACAACTCAGCTCATGTCAACTCATTCAATTCGCTTCATTCGTTCCTTGTTAGTTCAGTTCAAGTCAAATCAAGTCAAGTAAATTCATTTCATTTATTTCATTGGTTTCATTCAATTTTGATTCAAAATTTCAAGTCAGTGCATGTCATTTCATTCATTTTATTTCCGTCCTTTCATTTTATTTATTTCATTCATGTCATTCATTTCACGTTTCATTCCTGTCATTCATTTCATTCATGTCATTCATTTCAAATTAATTAATTGCATTCGTGCGACTCATTCCATGCCATCTCCCTTCGGTTCCCATTCCATTGCCATTTCATGTCCACTCCACTTCGTTTCATGGCATGTCATTCGTTCCTTCCTTCCTTCCTTCATTCCTTTCTCCTTCCTTCCTTCCCTCCCTCCCTCCCTCCCTCCCTTCGTGCCTGCACTCATTCATTCGTCCACTTTCATTTGTTCGTTCGTTCATTTTCACTCGTTTCCGTGAATCGTCCGTTCAAAGACTTCCTTATAGGCCCTTGATTTCCCATGTCGGCTTCTTTTTTTTTCGGAAACTTCCGCCATGGCACAGCAGCAACTTCCTGGTATTGTCGCAGAATGTTCTGAAGTGCACACCTGTCAGGCTTCGCAATTGGCGCAACCTTTGACCTTTTGGCAGGCCATCCGACGCGCCGCTCCTGAAATTGACGTTTACCATTGGTTTGGGCGCTCTTTGGTAATTACCGTGTTGGTACCGTGTTGGTACCGTGTTGGTACCGTGTTGGTACCGTGTTGGTTTGTTCCAGTTTTCATGTGTTTCGCGTTTCTTTCAATGATGCAGTGATGCAAATAATACATAATAATACCATGTCTTGAACACACCTGTTTTTTAATTGAATTTGTTGCGTAGTTTCTCGGTTGCTTGGCACGTGGTTCAGGCACATGAGAAGAGCATTCACGATTTGTTTTTTGCTCCAAGTGTCGCGGGCCAAGTTCCGCGGTCTTCGTGTACTGCCATGTTGCAGGTATGCCCATTTGCTGTAGTCATGCATCAAGTGCTTGCAGTTTGTCAGGTTTGAACCCAAATAGCGAAAGGTGACACAGCATGATGCTATGACTGACAAAGAAAACACCTTGGACGACCAGATGAGGCAAAATGAGAGCATAAGACTAGATCAACGACATTTGGAAGATCTGCCAGTTTTTGAACTTTGATGGTGAGTCATAGTCATGGTTGTATATAACAAGTGTGTAGTCAAGTTTTGCATTCTCGCCCACGAGCATTTGTTCTTGACACTTTGTTTTTGAAACACGAATGCAGGATTATTGTTTTGAAAAGCAAACAGAGGAGACCTGAGAATGAAACGCACAGCAGATGTTCCTGCGCTTGAGGAATCCAAAATGTTGGTGTCCTGTGGCGCGGAGGGCTCTGTTGCAGTGACCCTGCGGAGTTTCTGCGTGTGGTTGATGTGACTCCTGCGAAGCTACTTCTCTGCCTTAAGGCTCATGCACCTACCTGTCCCTGATGTCTGATTGAATCCTGCCGTTTCCTCTCAGAAATCAAGCTGCATATAATCGGCGCTGCTTGCACACAGATACACGTTGACAGATACAAATCCGGGTACTGCCGTGCTAAAGGGGCACAGGTGCAGTCAAGGTGGACAATTCAAGCCTTATTGTTCATATTTAACAGCAGATCCCATTCTTGTTTTGACATAGGCCATATGGGCACGGGAGACGTTGAAACACATATCTGACTCACAGCCATCCAGACGCTAGCTGGCGCATTGCAGCGAGTGCCCAGCTAGAACGCTGCCGCCAGGTGTGAGTTGCAGAATTGAGTTTGCTGTGGTTTACCGTTCAAACTCAAATATATGATATATATAATATATATAATATAATATATATTATATAATATAAAATATATAATATATAATATATAACATAAAACATATAATTAACACTATAAAATATATAATGTATAATACTAAATATAAAATCACATATATGATATATAATATATAATACTAAATATAATATCATATATGATATATAACATATAATATATATATATAATACATATTATATAATATAAAATATATGGTATATATTATATTATATATTATATAATATATATTATATAATATATATTATATAATATATAATATAATAAATAATATATAATATATAATATATAATATATAATATGCAATATACAATATATAATATATAAAATATATAATAAATTATATACTGTATAAAATAATATATGATATATAATATCCAATATCATATATAATATAATATAAAATATCAAAAATAATATAATATATAATATAAAATTAATATAATATGATATATAATATAATATAATATTTAACACAATATATAATAATATAATATATAAGACAAATATAATATAATATGATATATGATATAAAATAATATATAATAAACTATATAATATACTATAATATAATAATATATAACATATAATATATAATATATAATATATAATATATAATATAATAACATATAATGTATAATATTTAATATATAATATATAATAAATAATTTATAATATATAATATATAATATATAATATATAATATATAATATATAATATATAATATATAATATATAATATAATATATAAAGTATAATATATAATATGTAATATATGATATATGATATATGATACATAGTACATGTAATATATAATATGTATATTACACATATTATATGATATATTATATGATATATTATATGATATTTTTTGATATATGATATGATATATGATATGATATATGATATGATATATGATATGATATATTATATGATGTATTATATGATATATTGTATGATGTATTATATGATATATTATTTGATATATTATTTGATATATTATTTGATATTATATGTATTATATGTATTATATGTATTATATGTATTATATGATTTGAAGTAAGACCCATCTGAACTGCTTGCGTATTTGGAGTTGGACAGCCGCCGCATTCCCAGCTTGTGGTTTGAACTTGTGCTGTGCTGACTTGAGGTTTTCATTAGGAAACACCTTGTCTTAGACACAAAGACTCCTGTGTGTCACCATGGCAGATTTTGCCAAACAGCCAAAAGAGATCACAAGAACCTTGTGCATTTCAGAAGCTGGCAAGCACTTACAGCAAACCAGGGGTCGAGTTACCACACAGACAACGCGCGATCTGTAAACCAGCGGAGCATGGCAACTGCTGATGCAATTCCCTCCAATTCCAGCACTGGCAGCTCTGGCAGCACTGGCAGCAGCAGCAGGGTCCTCGGCTCCATTGCTGTGGAAGGTTTTTCTCAAGTCGACTTTTTGGCAGCCACCAGCCACTGCAATGACTTGCAAAATGACTTGCAATCCTACGTACTGGGGCCCCACTTGTAGGTACAGCAAGGCGCAGTCTGATTCTTCTGGCAGATACCGTCTTGCAGGCCTGACCTGTATGACTTCCAAGCAATAGTGAATAAGTAGCAATAGTTTCAAATCCCACCAGGTTGTCATTCTTCGAATCAAAAAAGGTCTTTTCCATTGCTCTGGTGCCACATGTCCCCTGAAGGCTTGCATTGCGCATTCTTGCTTACACAGGGGTGAAGCAGCAAGCTTAGAGAAGTCCTGCGGCGCTGCAGTGTGAAGACATATTACACAAATGCCAAAAATCTATGTTTGAAGGCATTGTTTGCGATTGCTAATGGTTGCTGTGCAGCAGAGGTTCAATGTCTTTTGTTCGGAAATTTTCAGGCTGGTGTGACCGACTGTAACCTTTTTCTTGTTACAAATGATGGGTTGGTCGGAGAATGGGGACATCAAAATTGCAAACTTCTGTTCGACAGGAAAATGAAGCTGGAGCTGGCGCCATTGAAGCCAGATTCTTGCAACGCCAAGTTCTTCTGAAAAATTGAACTGATCTAATTGAGAGCTAATTGAATCTGATTGAGTAGTGTACCGAGCCTGTTGAGCCTGCCAGCTGCTTGTGTCTGAGATTTGGAGCATGCAGAAGCAGGTCAAGAGCAGCGGCCAGTCTCTGAGGGATCACTTCCTGTGTAGATGGTCTGATTGAGACACCCTCCGAATCAATTTGTTCTGCAGAGAGTTTGCATGGTCTGCCTTTGATTGCTACTACTTTCTAATGTTTGGTATTGTTTTTCTTCCTTGTTGACATGTATGTCATATTGTGCACAACACCTTGCACACCTTATTAAAAGATCTTGTCGCGATCGCGCGCGATCCTTCTCATTATTACATTTACTGTAGACATGCCGGACCCGGCCGTACCTACCCTCATTTGCACACATGTCCTCCACACATGGTGCCACGTGGTACGCCATGTCGAGTTGTAAAACGTAATTTTCTCCCGTCCCCTTTTGTCCTGTGCTTCAAGTACTGTGTGTGATTCTCTTAGAAACACCTAGTTCTACTGGTTTGCAGTGGGCCATAGTGGACCTCATTTTGCAATCTTCTTTTTGGCTCCTTTCGTTTTGCCAGATTGAGGTGCAGAATTCTCTGAACTTCAACCTGAAGAGTGCCCTGTCTTATTTACAAATAACGACGCAAGTCTCTGACAGCTTTAGGTTGGGGTTCAGGGGTATTCTGCGGGCTTGGGGCTGTGAGTGCTCCAGAGGGATGTTTCAGTAGTTGCTGCCTTTTGCGACATGGTGCTGCATGTTCATTACTGTCATGGGCTCCAAATGGTTCCAATTTCCATCAATTTCCTAGGTTGGCTGCAGCTCAAGAGGAAGCTGAGGCCAACAGCTCGTTCCAAAAACGTTCGATGATTTTCTTCGAACTGCACACAGAGCCCTGAAGAGTCAATACTAATTTTCTGATCCTAGAAGCTTTGAGATAAGATCCCAAAAACCATTCATCGTGAGAATTACTATACATCAATCGACACTTGTTTGGATTAACATTCTCATCATGGTCATATAGACCCAGCGGCATGTGAGTCGCGCTGATTCAGTCGACCTCTACAATTGTGGACTTAGCAAAAGTAAAGTGGGTCTGAACAAGTCGAACTATGCTGCCAGGCATTTGGAGAGCAGGCACACGTTGTGTTTCACTGATAGTAAATTGGGAAGTGTCAGCGCAAACACATATTTGTATCTACATACTGCATCATACTGCATACTGTACAATAGACTTACACACTAAGCACATTGTGGTACCTAATTACGTGTGTACATAAACATACGTCCCACCCACCTACCTACCTACGTACTCACATACGTATGTACGTACGTATGTGCCTACATGCATACATGCATACATGCGTACATGCATACATACATGCATACATGCATGCATGCATGCATGCATCCATCCATCCATACATACATACATACATACAGTACATTACAATACATACAATACATACAATACATTCCATACATTACATACATTACATACATTACATACATTATATACATTACATACATTACACACATTACACACATTACACATATTACACACATTACACATATTAGATACATACCATACATACCATACATACCATACATACCATACATACCATACATCCATTAATACCATACATACCATACATACCATTGACATACCGTACATACCGTACATACCATACATACCACACATACCATACATGCTATACATGTCTTACATACCATACATGCCATACATGCCATACATGCCATACATGCCATACATGCCATACATGCCATACATGCATACATGCATACATGCATACATGCATACACCCATACACGCATACACACATACACACATACACACATACACACATACAGACATACAGACATACAGACATACACACATACATACATACATACACACATACAGACATACACACATACACACATTACACACATTACACAGATACACACATACACACATACACACATACCCACATACGTACGCACCTACCTACTCACCTCCCTGGACATGCATACATACACACATTACATGACATTACATGAGATGACATGACATTACAGTACAGACAGTACACACGTCAACACATTAAAGTCACCACATACATTACATACATTACATACATTACATACATTACATACATTACATACATTACATGGGTTACATACCGTACATACAGTGCATACACTACATACGTCACATGCCTTCATACATTATTGCACATATATATATATTTCATACATTGCATGCTTTCCATACATTGGAAATGACAATTGAAATACACGCGTTGCACACGCATATATATATATACATAATATGCATCATATGTAGACATGTATTATATATATATACACGTGTATATTCACATGTAGCACTATTCTGATAGCACGTCCATTTCTGCTGCTTGACTATTCAAAGTCTTGCGTGTGAAAGTTGGATGCCCTTGGATGCCAGGTTGGAAAACCCACTCGTGTTTTAGGCACGCTACTGGAGTAGGTATTGATGTCCCAGTTCAGCATTGTTTAAGTTCTGTTGGTGTGAGGCTGGTTTGTTTCGCGACCCAAAGCCGATGTGCCTTCGGATCAAGTCGGAAGCCAAAGCCATGTCCTCATGTCGTCTACATGTCGTCTACATGTCGTCTACATGTCGTCTACGTCGAGAAGTGAAAAAAATCAGTTTGGAACAGAGCACCTGCAGACGGGCTCAGGATGTGGAGCAACAACTGCAGTATCAAGAGCTGATTTCCAGCAATTGCCCCAGTTGGATCCAGTTGGCCTTGTCATTTCACGAAGGGCACATGGGTCCATCGAAAATCATGGAAAATCACCAGCGCTTCCAGGCTTCTTTGTTGGTCTTTGTCTCCCGATGGTGTGGTTTGAACAAAATCTACAAATGCTGTCCTTGGCCCAAGTCTGCGAGGTTGTGTCTCATCAGATCAGCATTTCTATCAACCTTAAGCCCTTGGACCATGGTATTTTCTTGAAGTTTCAGAATTATATATTTATGATTATTTATGCAGTTTTATTGGTACAACAACTGCGAATTTTCAACTGCGAGAAAGAGGTCAGAGACAATCCTGGAGGATATGACAAAAGTTGCGACATTGAACAAATTTAGAAGGCATTATTCGTGATTGTCTATTATCCACCAAAGACTGACACAGCCAAGGTAGCAGCAGTTGTTTGTGCGAACTGACTGCAAAGAATATAACCCCAAATTTACTACAATTCAACATATGGAATTCCATCAGTACTTTCCACTGGTGCCTTGAGAAGCACAACCATACCGTGAAATTGGAGAGAGAACATGGCACGATAGTGTAGTTCCAATGACGAACAGCTAAAAGGAAATGTTCTAAGAGTTAAGGCCAGCCTTTCAGAAAGTGTGGAAATTGCTTCATCAGCGTGTGATTCTTTCGCCGTTTGGACAGAGAGCTGCATGAAGGTCACTTGCGTTCTCAGGTGTCAACTGAGTGGATTCCGAGTTGTGCCTTCGTCGGGAGATCTTGAGCCAGTGGAGGTGCACTCGGAAAGTCCTCGAAAGTCCTGGAAAGTCAGATATCTCAACAATTCTCAACATATCGCAGCCATTCTCAGCCATGTTTCCGATCTTGTTGAAATTTGTTGAATGCTTGGAGATCTTGGAGATCTCGGAACCATGTGAAATCATGTGAATCAAATGGATCGAAGTCAAAATGCGACAGGTTGAGATTGTACCGCTGGGAACTCATGCTCGCCTACTCGTGGCTTTTTAATGGGCGGCCCAAGTGTCCTTATTTCCAAGAATTGGCTTTGAGGCAGTGCACCTTGATTCCAAAGATCCCGCAGGCTTGATTATTGATGTAAAGGCAAAGGAACGATTGTTGAACGACATTGAGACATCGAGTGCAACAAGAGCTTGCAATCTTTGGCCGACATTTTGCAAACATTTGCAAACATTTCTTTTATCTGGATAGCTCACGATATATTTATAATATGTGTATATATATAATATACTATACATACAGTATATACTTTATTATACTTTCAAAAGTACTATATGGTTATTTATATATTCATAGTTATATATATTATGTCTATATATAATAAATTATATAATGATAATATACATATGTATATATATAGTTTATTTATATATGATTCTGCATACATATATAACAGTTAATATAGTATGCATCAAGACATATGGCTGTTGAAGGCAATGCCTTGCCAGGAATGCTCTGGGCAGCTCTGCATGGAATCACTGACACAGCGTGTCCATGAGGCCTCCCTTTCATGATACGCAGGGTATCCACAGCATTCCACAGCCTCCGCAGCGATGTCGCAACATGGTCCATGTACAATGTAAGATCATGTAAGAGGAAGTGGAATGGCACGGTAGGTGAAAGATGGTGAAAGATGGTGAAAGATGGTGAAGGATGGTGAAGGTAGAACAAGAAAGTAGAAAACAACGGTGACTCTTGGTGATTTCGAACCGATTTGAGGGCGTAAGTTTGTTGTTCTTTGTGATTCTACACGGTTCAATACAAGGCAGCGAAGCAACTGACAGAGAGCGATGACAAGGCGGACACACCTCCCCAGACATCGCTTTCAGTTGCATTTGCACTACGCTCGATTCAGCTTTGTCCCATTACTGTAGTTCGCTTTGAATTATCAACAGTCCTGCTGATGCACACTCATACAGAACTTCACTTTGTTTCACAGCCGATCATGCCTTGCAGGGTGCAGCAAAAAGTACGGCATTCTCGCGTTTCCAATCCTCCTGTCGACGGTTTGCAGGACTGCTTGTCACCAGATTGCAATCCGTCCCTGAGCCGTTTGTAGTGGCATGTAGTGGCAGTCTGCAGTAAGACGCTACAAAAACGAAAGGACTCAGTTCTCTCCTGCAAAATGAGGCAGGTTCTGCTTGAAGCTTCAAGAAGTTCACTGTCTATGTTCAATGCTGTACTGTTTGGTGATTTTCTACAACCGCGAAAATGATTGATGGGCTGCAAGCAAGACGACGGAGTGATTCCAGGTAGAGCTTTTACGGTCTTTTGCAGCTGACTGGGACCGCAATCTACAGGCAAGTCCTCTTACTACCAGTTTCCCCCTGCCAGCAGATATGGATTTGCAGCCTCCTCACAAAAAAAGACTGATCTTGGAAAGGTCTTGGCAGGGGTGTACGAGGAAAAGGAGGCTCAAAAGGAGCACTTGGATTTCTTTCATGAAATTGGAAAGGGTGCAGAAGGATTGGCTCAGTTTCTTGTGATCATTTTGATTTCTAGTGATTCTTGCACGGCATTGTCTCATCCAGAAGTGCCTAGTCCGGCAGGAAGGGCCCAGCTGGGTGAAGGCGCCATTGGCCGAGACCTCAACGAGTAATGTGAGCCATTTTGGAACTTGACACTTGCGCAACAGATCGCAACAGTGCAATGATTTAAGATCTTGGCATTTGCTTGACTCCACAGGGAAAAGGAAATGGATCCATTGGCAGTGAACCGGCCAGAACCTCATTGCTGTTCTGTAGGAATTTTATTTGGAGAAAGGAAGTATATACACAGTACTGTACATTTTGATGTCTATAAACCTCTCCAGAAAAGCAGCCAGCGGATTGCGGAGGGTCTGGCTGGCATTTGAGTGCCAGCCGCTTGAGATTTAATACAGGATGCTGAATGCAGAAACCAGTGTGAATCGGAGCGTAGTTTCCACATGCTGGATTTCGAACCAGAAAATGCATGCACATACCACAAAGATCGTGTTCTGGAGTAAAGGTGTTGTTTGACAAAGAAGCTTTCATGCAAGAGATGGCTGATCATGTCGGAGGATGCTTTGAAAGCTTCTGATGGGAGCAATATTCATCCTTGCTTAGGTCTCTATATGATTCTATATGTATCTATATGCAATTTCGGATGCAATTTCGGATGCACTAAATTTCTCAACGTTCGATTCCGGATTTTAAATCCCAGCCCTCACAATCAGTTAGTCACAGCGGGTTTGTCTCATCCTGTGTCGTCATTGTTTTGATTGTTCTGATTGTTCTTGCCAAGGATAGCAAGATTTCAGCAGCCAGCGAAGCCACAAGTTCCAAGCTGCCAGGTGGGTTTAGGGAGACCAAAACAAGGGCTCCTCCGCCCATGTCATTAATTGTTCTAAGAATTGTCCTATTCTGTAGCGGCTCCAGGACTCCTATTTTTCAAGATTTGTTTGTAGCTTGGCAGGTCAATCTTCGGCCAAATCTATTGCTGGACCTGCGGTCACTGCAGAGGCATTGTGTTTTGCCTTTGATCCATTGAGAAGATATGATTCAAAATGATTCAAAATGATTCAAAATGATTCAAAATAATTCAAAATGATTCAAAATGATTCAAAACGATTCAAAATGATTCAAAATGATTCAAAATGATTCAAAAATGATTCAAAATGATTCAAAATGATTCAACATGATTCAGTTAAATTCAAACGACTTTGTGCCAGGCAGAGATGACATGGCAAGACAAGACCTCTGGCGGAGCATCTGGCAGCAAGGTTCGGTCATTGCAACGTAAGCCTGACAAAAGTCCATAAGTGTGTTTACTAAAGTTTACTCTATTTACGCATATACTCTAGATAGGTGCAAATTGTGTCATTTGCTCATTCTTTAACAACAACTCAACTAGGTATAGTCTACAGACCTGGAAACCTTTGAAATTCATTTAAAAAAACTTGGAAGAGACACAGCCTGAAGCAGGCGGGATCAGGTGAGGCTCGGGGGTGTGGTTTGGTCCTCGATCAGAAGCTGAAAGGTGCATTTGCAACCATTTAGAAACGCCTTATGCATTGCTTCCTGTTCTTTCATACTCTTTCTATACAAGAAAAGAATGAATCAGGGTGTTTGATATTTGCTTGAAACGCCTGAGAGATTTGAACTGACACATGAGCAAAGGCCTACTGCCTCTTTTGGAGCGAAGGCACGTTTGGCATGGAGCTGAAACAAGAGAAGCATGGAAACAAAATAAAAAAAGGGCAGAAATTCAGAGTACTGTAAGATACTGTAAGTACATGTAAGTACTGTGGAGCTTTTGGTGCTGATGACATTCGAGATCGGCCATCGTTTCCTGAATGACTGCGCCAGTCGGGAAGACTCCGCACCAGGCCTGGAGCTGTGGACGCAGAAAATGAGGTAGGAAATCAAATCGAAGCAAGTTTCAAAAGCAACTGCAACAAAGTCAAGAAATCTATGAACATCTTGGTCAATAAGTAGGTCTGAGAAAGCAATTGTTCAAAGAACCTTGGAAAGGCGTTGCTTTTTTCTCTCGACTCAGGCTCGGAAAAACGCTCAATTCCAGCGAAACGTCCTGATCAGGAGGCCTCAAGCATATTCAGCACAGCTTGCGGACAGGTGTTGACAATCTTTAAATATCTTTAAAATATTTCTTTAAATATCTTTAATATCCCTTTCGGATCGCAGTATTATTGAAGATTTTATAGCCCACATTGCAAGAGTGATGCGCCAGGAAACTGAAGGAGAGAAGCCAAAGTCAGGTGCTGTCGAGGGAAAGCCGTGAGCATCTCAGGCTCTTTTCCCGCTTGTGGAAACTTTGACCCTTTAGAGTCCTGTATATTATTTTATAATAGTGCCCACCACCACCTTTGCATTTTTCAACGGCCAGACTTCCAGGAAAAGCCTCCTAAAACGTCAACGGCACAAGCCACCATAGAAGGCGTGCGAGATCCAATTTTGAAGACAACTTCGCAGCTGCAGCTGCCTAGAGAATTTTAGAGATGACTATTCAGAAACATTTCTGGATGCATATTTTTATATGTACGACAAGTGCGGAGTTCATGCGAAAACAACATGAAGGGACCTTCCACAGGAGAGACTCAGGAAGGTAGGGTAGGGTTGCATGCATGGAGTTTCATTGCGATATTGTGCCCGCCTCTAATCAGTTTGGTCTTGGAATTGGCGATGCTCTCATTTGACGGCAGTAAAAAGGGTGGCCATGGTTATTAACATTTATTACATAAATACAGGGAAGCGTCCAGTGGCAGGATGACGATGGATGACGATTCCTGCTGGGTCTCTCAACCCCATCTTTGGGGCCGCAAGATTTCTGCACAAGGCGAGAGTCATCAACGGTGAGACCGCATTTCAAGTACAGTGAAAAAGCGCACTAGGATGCACTAGGCTATACTAGGCTGCAAAAGCTGTAGAGCACGACAAAGCAGGGAAGACTTGCCAGTCCTTGCATTCGCAGCCTTTTTCTTGAAGGGCTCTGCCAGCCTTCTCGTTTTTTGAGGTGAGTTTGGAAACAAATTCTCTGTCAGGATGCAGATTTTTGTTGATTTCTGTGTTCATGTTTTAACAAGAATGACAACGGGATAGCACAGCTTGAAGGCTACGCGCAGCAGAAGAGTACTCAGGCAAGGATCTTGTTGCACAGCTTGAGACACATTTGAACAGTGGTGTAAAACGAGCAGGACTTGTTTTCACCAGACTCTGACTTGTTTCTTTTTTTTCCGGGGGGTAGGGGAATTTGGGCCTGTGGCTGGGACTGGCCATCCCAAGTCCACAGCAGGGATTGGGTAAAGCCTCACAGAACGTGCGATCAGAGGCAAATCAACATCAATCAACATCAATCGACCCTGAACTCCGTGGGCAAACTCTGAGCTGCGACGCATCGTCTAGATTCGACTCTCGATCAGTCTAGATCAGTCTAGATCAGAGATCAGTCTATGTCGCTATCAGTCTGGATCTTGATCAAGTCTTGATCGATCCGGTCATCTCGTGGGGCTCGCACTGTCGGCGAGCTGATGCGCCGGCAGATGAGTGTCACCTGCCACAAGAACCAAAAGGAAGGACCCAAAAGCCCAAAAGGATCCAATTGTAGGATCCAAAAAGGAAGTTCGCTTCAGTTCGCTTCCCCACTTTTGAACTTTGTTCTTATTCATTTGTTGTTTGCGCAGCCCCTCAGAGAAATACGATGAAATACTTTTGCAGACTCGAGTACTATGAGAAGCGAATAAGCTACAATCATAATTAGCCATAGAAGCTGAAACGCGGCTTCTGGCTTGATTTTTCACAGGCAGCAGCTTGCGAAAAAGCCTCGTTGAAGTCACTGCTCGTGACATTGCAATCTCTGTAATATGTATGTCTTCGCCGGAGCAGCATCAAATAGCATCAAACAGCATGGCCTTGTGAAAAGGCCTTGTCATTGCAATTGTGTCAATACTCAATGCTTGGATCATCTTCATAATTTGGCCTGACAGGCGTGTTTGATCAGCAGGTCGTTGCTGCATGGACAACCTGCAGTAGTTGCCCCATCCCCAGATGCAGAGCATGAACAGCTGCCATATGCTGCCATTGCATAACATGCTCCATGGCTGCTTTGGCTTCGATATTTCTCTGAGGCCACTGTCCCCAACTGTTCCCTTTTCACGTGCAGTCAGTGGATTGAAGACTGCAACACACTTGCAGATCTGGCTGTGAATGGCTGTGACGATTTGGGCCTCACAAAAGAGGTACAACGTAATTACATGATATTACTACTATTACATGACATGTAATTACTAGCAAGCAGCAAAATTCGTTTGTCACTTGTTATATTGCATTGCACCTTGTTGTTTGTTGCTAGCATTTGTTGCCTCTTGTTCCATTTTGTCAATTATATAACTTGTTCTGACGTTTTGGTACCATTGCCCGATATTCTTGCATCTTGCTGCATGCTCCACATGTTGCATTTATTTATATGTAATGCATACACATGCTTACTGTACATGTACAGAGAAGCTCGTGAGCTTTTCAAAGTGACAGTGAAGCAAGGAGCGTACACAGCCAAAGATGGTGTTGTCATCCTTCTGCATTCTGGAGTGGAGAAAGTCTGAACATGAAATTTATGACTTTGTGATGGTTTCTGAAGTCATGTATCATAGAGCTCATAGCGATGCATTCCACCAGTTTCACCCCATTCTACCTTTTCTGGACACTGATCAACGTGGAGAAAGCTGCTCTCTGGATGCATGGAATGTGCTTCCGATGGATTTGTTCAAGTTCTTATCGTGGACATGGCATGGCCGCCTTTGGAAGGTATGGGACGCAGACAGTGGAAATCTGGACTGTCGCCTGATGGGACACATTGGAACTGTAGCTGGCCCAGAGACAGGGAAACTGGCAAAACCATGCTGAAGCATAGCTGCAGTGTTGCGAATCATTCAGATTCAGATGTGTTACGAATGTTCCAGTTCGGCGCCATGGATATCTTTGAAATCGGCTCTCTGAATCCATGGCATTTGGAGGTGACGACTGTAGCAGTTTGCCCGACAAATTCAGAACTTCTAGCTACAGGTGGTGAGGAGCGCATATGCCAAGTCAATCGATGACGTTCCTGTCCTAAAGAATTTGTATGTCCTCTATGATCTTCGTGGATTGATGTCATTGTTAGTTTGTGAAGGCTGTCGGTGCTTCTAAATTCATTTCGGCCGCTGACCAAATGCCAGTAAGCATGGAAGTAGTCGAAGATAATCCTGACTTAGTTGACTTGTGACAGTCTGTGAGGGGTTCAGTGTTCACATAGTTCGGTTGTTTTCAATGATTTCCTTGGAGTATCATTCACCTCATGTGCAGGATCACACAGTGCGGCTTTGGGATCTGAGAGATGCTCCTCGGATCAGGGTTGTTGTGAGTCATTGTACAAACAAGGATAAGAAGATATTAAAAACATCTTGGAGAAATCTTGCAGGTTAGGACGGGAGGGAAAGCAAGGTCAAGTGTGCATTGGCTTGAGAGTTGTTGGGACATATCTCTCAATTCAACCAGTATACAGTACGTATAAATAAGTCCAATATACATGGAGATAGGATGTAGAGAGCGCGGCCGTGGAGGAGTGAGTTTTTGGAAGAAAACCACCACAAAACACGGCAAATATCGATGTTTTATGCACTTGAGGGGACTGAGACCTACACGAAATTTAAAGGTTCTGGAGCGAAAATCCCGTTCTGGAGATATAGAGGTACATACATAGTGTAAGCAGAAATAAACAGTAATGTGGGACTGTTATGGAATATGACTCTATGTGAATCTATATGAACCCATGTGAACCTAACATATCACAACATAATATTGAATATATAGTATATATAATGTAGTATAATATAATATATATATATATTATATTATAATTATATATATATAGTATTATATTTGATATATATATATATGATGTATGTAATATAATATAATATATATATATATATAATATCTATAGTATAATATATACAAAATATTATATATATATATAATAATACAATATAACATAATATAACATAATATAATGTAATATAATATAATATGACAATATATATATATATGATATATAATACATGGATAGTATATATGTAATAACACATAGATAATATATATATATAATAAATAGATAAACAAATAAAACATATATATATATAAATAAACAAATAAATATATATAAATATAAATATATATATATATATACACATAATACTATATATACATTATATTTACTAAGTTGCTGAAGCCAGAAGTCTCCAGTCTCCAGAAGTGCGAGCACTCCCTGAGATCGAGCCGAGCTCCCAACTGGCGCGGATGAGCCGCGAGAAGGCCAGTCGATGTCAAACTGGTGGTCACATTGTGTAACATGTGATCAAGTAAAATAAATACACTAAATCATTTAAATCAGTAAATAAATTATACATATAATATAGATTAGTATAAATATATATATATATACATACCTGATTTTGTATGATGTGTATATCATACTGGCTGGCTGGCTGTTTGTTTGTCTGTCGGTTTTCCTGTCTGTCTAACTGCATGTCTGTTTGTCTGTCTGTCTGCAATTGTATGTATATATGTAATGGAATGGAACCGAACGGAATCGAATGGAATGAAATGTACTAAAAGTATGTATGCATGCATGAATGCATGGATGAATGTATGCGGGTGCGCTTGTATGTGTGCATGTGCGTATGCATGTACGTATGTATGCGTGTATGTGTCTATGTGTGTACATGTTTGTAGGTCTGTATGTGATATGATACAATGTAATGCAATGTAATGCAATGTAATGCAATGTAATGCAATGTAATGCAATGTAATGCAATGTAATGCAATGTAATGCAATGTAATGCAATGTAATGCAATGTAATGCAATGTAATGCAATGTAATGCAATATAATGGAGTGTAATGCAATTTAATGCGATGTAATGCAATGTAATGCATTGTAATGCAATGTAATGCAATGCAGTGCAATGTAATGCAATGCAATGCAATGTATGAATCTGTATCTCTATTTGTATCTCTATTTGAATCTCTACCTATCTCTATCTATCTCTAGCTGTCTCTATCTATCTCTATTTATCTCTATCTATCTCTAACTATCTTCGTCTATCTCTGTCTATCTTTACCTATCTCTACCTATCTCTACCTATCTCTGGCTATCTCATCTATCTCTATCTATCTCAATCTATCTCTATCCATCTCTATCTATCTATATCTATCTATGTATCTCTCTATGTATCTCTCTATGTATCTCTCTATGTATCTCTCTATGTATCTCTCTATGTATCTCTCGATCTATATCTCTATCTATCTCTCTATCTATCTTTACCTATCTCTATCTATCTTTACCTATCTCTATCTATCTTTACCTATCTCTATCTATCTTTACCTATCTCTATCTATCTATC